ACCCAGCAAAATTTCTGTTCTTATAAATTATCTAGTCTTGGGTATTTTGTTATAGCAGCAGGAATACACTAAGACAGTATGCAGGTACAATAATAGGTACATACACATTACAATGCCTGCCTAGCATTGTAGCACAAGGTCCTGAGTTCAAACCCCGGTACTACCAAAAAAAGACAAGGTTAACGTCACATTTAACACATTCCAATCCCTACTGGGCAAAAGAACAACATTCTAACTGTTTCTTGAGCCTTGCTGTGCACCTGACACCAGGTAAAACTCGACAGATGTGCTCAGAAGGAGGACAAGAAAGCACTGTCCTCCCGCCAATGGGATCCTGGGGCTTCCATTTTCTTTCCTACATTGTGATCTTTCCTAATGTCCTACAATGTGAGTTTCTCCTATAAGGAGAGAAACAGCAAAGCAAACTTTCATTTCCCGTTTGGGAGGGAATTCCTAAGGGAGATGAACTGTGGTAAAAGGGAGAACTCCCTCACTTCCTCTTTACTGTCTTGGTGAATAATTTGCCCCAGCAGGTCCTTGAGGGTCTCAAGTTTCCAGCTACTGTCCCAGCCTATCTTTCCTTAATTAAAGTGACACTGCGAAGGGAGCCCCTGGAATGGGGTGACTGGGAGCAGAGGGCAAGGCTCAAAGTTACTTCTTTGGGTGAGGAATCCTGGGCAGTGGTGGGTATAAGCAAACACTACACATTTTTAAGAATTCCTTGGAGCAAGGTCTCCAGGTGGCATGGAGCTGTCTCAGCTGGAGCCTGTGGGATCTGGGAGGCCCTGAGGAGTTGTCACCAGGCCCAAATGTTGGCCCAAAGACACAGGTGAGCTTTCAAACCGATGTCTTTGAGGACTGAAAACATCAAACTCCGCCCTGAAAAGAGTCTAGGGGATTTTACAGGGTATCTAGGAATCCTGGCCCAAAGTGCTTTAAAGCTTCAAAAACTTCCAAGAAACCAGAAGTGGTGGTACACACCTGTAGTTCCAGCACTGGGGAAGCTGACAAAGGAGGATGGAGCGTTCAAAGCCAGCCTGGGCTGTACAGGATGTTTGAGGCTAGCCTCAGCTACATAGTAAGGTCCTGTCTCAAAAAGAAGATGGGGGGGCTAGAGGCCTGGTTCAAGTGGTTAGAGAGCTTGCCTAGCAAGCCCCAGCACCGACTTTCCCCCAGTACAGTCCCAAGATGAAGGCAAAAAAGGTAATTCTACCATTATGAAATGTATCCCAGCCCTTAGGTTTAGTGTTTGCCCCTTAAGAAAGATGTTCTGGACCTGGAAAACATCCCTAAGTCTGTACCCTAAGGGATGGAGCGGCTTCTTATAACAGAAGAACTTGCCTCTTGAGCTACAGGTGCGATCTTACCCTGCCTCGCTCAGAGCCTTCTCCCCCTGCCTGCTTTCACTTAAACTCTGCTACTACTTTACAAAATAAAACAAAACCACGGAAGAACTTCAAACTGGATTCTTCATCACAAAAATGTGGCTTAGAGGCCATGGGTCACAGAGAATGTGGAATTTCCATAGCCAGGGAATTCCAGATAAATATCAGAGGGCAGTGTGCCTGGGCACTGGCTGTGCCTGTCCTGCCCTTTGTCTTTCCATGGGGCCACCTGCTGTGGGACCTCAGACACTTACTATGTCTTCATTTGAGGAAGTGAGGAAGCAGCCCAAGGGTTAAAGTAACTTGTCACTCAAGGTGACAAGGCCATCTGAGAACTGGAATTGAACGTGGGCAGGGTGGCTCAGAGCCCACAGCACACCCTGGTTCTCATCTCTATTTCTCCCCACCTCTTCTATCTGGCTCTTACATGCCAGGAGCAATGCTCCCAGGCCCCAAATGTCTCAGGGCCAGCACCAGACGAACAAAGATGGCCCCTGTGCCCCAGAGGCCACAGAAATGACCTGAGCTCACCAGTCCTGAGCCTTTCCCTGACTTTCCTCTAGAAACCACAGTGAGGCTCCTGCCCAAGCATGTCCTCCCTCTTTGTGCCTGATGTGTTGGCTTCACCTTACCTGATTTGTGATCAAATCTATACTAGAAGCCAGGCACCAGTGGCTCACACCTGTAACCCCAGCTACTCGGAAGGCAGAGATCAGGAGGATCACAGTTTAAGGACAGCTCAGGCAAATAGTTAATGAGATCCTATCTTGAAAAAAAAAAAAATCACAAAAAAGGACTGGAGGAGTGGCTCAAGTGGTAAAGCACCTGCCTAGCAAGCTTGAGGCCCTGAGTTCAAAGTCTAGTACTGAAAAAAAAAAAAAAAGGACGGTCTGAGTGACTGTCTTGGTTTTCTCCAGCCACCATATCAAAGTCCCAGACACTGGGTGTCTTTAACCACACAAATATCTCTCTCACAGTTCAAGATGTTAGAAGTTCAAGATTAAGACAGTTTCTGCCCAGGGCTGTCTCCTGGCCTGCAGATGGCCACCCTTCCACTGTGTCCTCTTGTTTCAGTGTCCACGGTCTGTAGTGACAGAACATTTGAGACTGGAAAAATCTGGAACACACGTTGCAAACTAAGCTAAATCAATTTGTCTTTTCACGGTTTCCATTTCCTTGGAGTCAAAGCCTTGAACCATATAGGATAGCTCAATACCCACCAGGTGGACACGTAAATGAAATCAGAATCTGATACACATGCAGGTCGTCAGGAAGCCCGAGTTTGCTAGGACTATGACAAAGAGCCACAGACAGGTAGCTTAAACAACAGAAAAGTACCCTGTCATATTTCTAGAGACCAGAAGTCTAAAGTAAACGTATCAGCTAGGTGTGGGTGCATGCCTGGAACCCCAGCACTTGGGAGGCTGAGGCAGGAGGATTGGGAGTTCCAGGCCAGCCTGGGCTACATAATGAAATGCTGAGATCCTGAGTTTAAACCCCAGTACTGCCCTCCCCCCACCAAAAAAAAAGATCTATCTCTCACACACAAAGATGTTACAGCAATTCGGCAGCCATGGGCTCACCAGGAAAAGTCTTCACCAGGGACAAATCAGCTGGCACTTTGATCTTGGACTTCCAGCTTCCAGAGCACTAATTTCTGTTGGTTAAGCCACTCCATCCATGGCATTTTGTTATAGCAGTGCCAGCTAACAGAGACCCTGTTTACACTGCTGGCTAAACCCAAGTTCTAAGCACCACCCATTTCACTGAAGAAAAATTACTTCTAACCTTCTCATGCCAATTCAGGAAATGGTAAGGTTGGGAAGGTGTTAGACAATTGTCCTCCGAGTGCTCTCCTGATAAGGGCATTTCAAATACACCAGCATAGACAGCCTTGTATCCAGTGGAAAGCTCTTAAAAAATTACTGGTCACATGAAACATGATCCTATAGCCAGAGTCATTCCCAAGGTTCAGAGTACTTTGAGGGCACAGGTGTACCTAACAGCCATAATGCCATAACTCAAAAGTTTGATGGAAGATGAGCTTGGGCTGAGTTCCCAAGGTCACTCTTCTGTGATAGAGAATGACTTTCTGAAAACCTCCCTGGCCCCTCCCACTGACCCCTGGCTGGAAACTAAGCAGTGTCTTCACCAAAATGCACTTTTTAGGATTTTCTTCTTTCTTTTTTTTTTGTCAAGGGCCATACACTTGCTAAGTAAGTGCTCTACCATTTGAGACACACTCCATTGTCTGCTTTTTAGGTTTTTCAGCTCTGAGAACCTTAGTCCTCTGTCCAGGAGGGTCCACAGGCCTGGAGGCTGGCAGACCCACATTCCCACCTCTCTGCCCTTTCCTCTAGTGCTTTGGATTTACCTGGGCTATAGGTGTAACGGGGACCTGGGGGGAGGGTGTCTAGGGACAGGGGAGGGCTACCGGTGACAGGCAGGGAGGAATGGAATCAGAGGCGAGGGTAGTGACCTCACCTTACAGGAAAGGATTGGAAAGGGGCAGTAAGAACAGTGGTTGGCAACCGGGCACTATGGATTCCTGGGGCTCTCGGAGCAACATTTGTCATCAACTGTAATCTGGCTCTTCGTCCTCAGTTTCCTCATCTGTATGTAAAACGGAATGGACTCCACCTTACTCTCTACAAAGATTTGGAGTTAATGCGTGAAGCTATTATTAATCAGCAATTGATTATTACTAGTTACAATGTACTTCCTCTTCTACGTGTGGTGCTGGGGAAATCAAACCCATGCCTCATGCGCATGCACTGTACCACCAAGCTGCGTTTCCCGCCCCCCCCCCCACTCCGCCCCTAAAGTAGTTCCTCTTGATAAACTGTGGGCTAGGCAATGTCTTCCTTTCTCCCTCCCCAGCACCAGCCTGGTACCGGGCATGCTGTCACCAAGCAAGCCTTACATTGTGCTTCCTATGTCGCTAAGACTGTTGTCAGTGACCCCAGAGGCCCCAAAGTCCCAGGTCTGGCTGGAGATTTGAATCCAGAGGGCGGTGTGTACTGCCCAACTGCCAACCGCAGAGAAGGCTGGGGTGGGAGAAAAAGGGCAGAGATCTTGGGTGCGGCAGAACCAAGTTCTTCCCGGAAGACCCTGAGCAGGGAGAACACCAGCGTGGAGACCCGCCCGGGTTGGGCCCGGGGACACGTGGCCCAACTTGGGGGCAGCCTAAGGCCAGAGGGCGCGGCACGTGACCAGGGATTGGAAGGGAACACGGAGGCCCACGCGGGTCTCAGCGCCGTGGCGATGGCCGCAGCCCCCGACCCTGGTAACCTTTGAGGTGGTGTCGCCCGGCGCGCAGCGAAGACCTGTGCGGAGTGAACGGAATCCGTGAATGACCGTGCGACACTACGCAGCCGGTCCCGCGCGGGCTGACCGGCGTTTGAGTGGCCGCTCGCCCACGTGTCGGGTGCACAGCATTGGACCAGCTCCCGAAGGCACGGGGTCGGGTTCCGCTTTTCCCTTCCTTGAGCAGCCGGCCTGGGCGGGGCTTGCGTGGTGCTGCCCTGGCCCCGCCCCCGCCCCGCCTCGCCCCGCCTCCCGCCGCGCGCATTTAGCGGGTTCGCAGCCGCGGGCTGAGGTCAGAGGAGGCGGGCAGCGCGTCCGAGCCGAGCGCCTGCGCGAGCCCGACGCACGCCGGAGGAGCCGGGGACCCGGGAGCCCGAGCGAGCGGCCGAGTCGGGGGACACAGCGCCGGCCCTGCGCCGCCGCGGCCAGCCCGGCATGGAGGAGTGCCGGGTGCTCTCCATCCAGAGCCACGTCGTCCGAGGCTACGTGGGCAACCGGGCGGCCACGTTCCCGCTGCAGGTACGCGCTCCGCCCGGCTTACGTAACCCGCTCCGGCTGCACCCGCGAGCAGCTCGCGGGTCCCTGGCGGGGTGGCCGCGACTGGCCGTCCCCGAGCCGTGACCTTGGTCCGGTCCTGACACGAGCCTCGGTTCTCCATCTGGAGTTCAGGGCGCTGCGGGCAGAGCCTGGCGCACGGATGAGCCGCTCCCATGAGCTGGTCGGCGGGGGCGGGGACCGTGGAGCACTCTGGTGGCCCCTGCGGGCGGGTTTGTCCCAGGCGTTGATGTGGGGGTGCTCAGGTAGAAGGCAGCCCCCCGCACCAGCTGTGTGTGGCGCACTCCTTCGTCCCTGCGAGTCCCTGCCGCTTCCCGCCACCGGACCAGCCGGTGGCTCTCTGGTGGCCACAAAATGCGACAGGGCTTGGAGGGTTCTGAGCCAGGGAGGATCCTGACCCTTAGGAGTGTGGACAGTCTCTAGGAAGGACGGGGAGATAGGATAGGCAGGTGTTTGTCCACTCACCTGCTGGCCTGCAGGTTCTGCCCCCCAGAACAGAGGAGGCCTCTGAATGAGGTCACAGACAGGTCAGTGCCCAGACAGGCTGGGTCCCAGAGGTGGTCAATCAAAAGGACGGGGCAAGGGCCACCCTGCACCTCTCACAGTCCTGCACATGTTTGCTGTAAAGCATTCCCAAGACCAGCACAGAACTGCTGGAAGCAACCTGTCAGATCTCTATAGCCTGCTACCCTCTCAGAGCCCCCCCCCTGCTGCCCTAAGGAGCTCTTTCTTCATGGATATCTGTCTCCCATCCTGGATGACAGGTGGAGAGTCACTGCTTCCTGGCTGTGCATGGAGTGGCAGGAGGGAGCCTGGGTACAGGGGTATTAGGCTAGGCCAGAAGCAGAGTTAGGGTGCCTGCACTTTCTGGCCTGGCCAGGTAGTAGCCTCCTGGACTTCCCACCTTTGGCCTGGTTCCTGAACAAGAAGACAGGTCCCTGGGCCCCTGCTGTGCATGTCTGGTCACTGTGCTAAGTCCTAGGAGTCATGCAGAAGAGCCACCTGGTTAGATGTGCCTGCAGTGGAAGAAAGACAGGAATGGTCAGAGCTGTGTCTCAATAGAGTCTGAGAGCTGTCCTGAGGCTGGCACACTTGGCAGACTAGATCAGAGATTTGCAAGTAGATACAAAGGTTCAAGGTCCAAAGACACAAGGTGGTTGCTGAGTGTTGAGCACTCTTGTGAGGCATGCCATGCCACTCCGATGTGTGGTGTACACACCTCTCCTTCTTTTCAGGGTGCACCTGTCCCAAGCCCCAGGCTCTTAACCACTGCTCCCAACTCCCACTGTGCTCATGGAGGGGAGATTATGTGAAGGTCATGGCAGGATCACTGAGATGAGATTGCTTGGGAGCAAAGGTGCAGGGTTCCTGAAGCAGAGGCAGCCAAGGAGGGAGGAGCCAGACTGAGCCCTGAGTCTGCACCACCTGTGCAGAGGTGTGCAGTTCTTCTGAGGCCCCTGGCCTGCCGCTCTTCCCTGTCCTCCTCTTCCTCCCTTCATTGGACAAACTGTTCTGTCCTCCACCCACTCCAGGTCCTCCAGCAGGGCCCCTGGTTCCTAAATTGCCAGGCACATGCCCTAGCTTCCACACAAAGGATGAGGACATGGTTTTCCAGGTGCTGAAGGGAGGGGGCTTCTTCCAACGACCTGGGAAAGTGTCTCTTAAGGACAGAGTTATGGTTCTTACTTGGAGTCTCCTTGGCACCTAGCATCCTCATTGTGGGCTCCCCAGGGTCCCATCCTGGCATTTTGCTCCCCACCCCCACATCTGAGCATTCTTGGAGAGCGAGATGCAGTGAGTCTGTTGAGGGTGGGCCCAGATAGTTGGACTGCTGACCTGCCTATCCAGCTTGACCAGTCTTATTGAATACAGTAGGGCCTGGGCTGGGCAGAGCCCAAAATGACCTTGGGGCCAGCACTGGCTAGCCTTTCAGCAGCAACCCCAAGAGAGAGCAGCCCCTAAGGTCCAGAGCTGCTCTTAGTGGAGGTCAGGGTGTGGTGTGTGATATTCTAATTTTGAGCAACATCTTGGAAGTCCAAAGTCTTGTCTAAAGTCTTGTGGCTAAGAAAAGTTAGAAAAGGGGAAGAGAGTAAGTTTGGGCGGGCCCACGGTTTGTCCTAAACATTGCTCCAGGAGACCAGAGAATGCCTCAAGGCTGTGGCAGGGGGAGGAAGGAGGCCACTTGTGGGAGATAGCCCAAGTGTCCAGAGGTTGTACCATGAAGTAGATGTACCCTTGTCCTGGAATTCCAGCTGGGTAACGTGATTCCAGTTTCTAAGCTTTCCCCAGCCTCCCCTGCAGACTTGGGGCCTAGGGTCAGGGCTCCTAGACGCCTTTGTGCTGGGTGTGGCATCTATTCATAGATAAGGAGCTCCCGCTCGTGACCTTAGCGTGGCACAGACTCTGTACCTTGAGACCATCAGAGTCCTGCCTCCCTAGTGCTTCCTGCTGGGTCCTCCAAACACACTACTCATGGGTCTCATTGGCAGCAACCTGCTCTGAGCCAAAAAAAAAAAAAAAAAAAAAAAACATACAAAAGAGAAGGTTGTAGAACCTTGATGCTGTTTTGGATTTTGTTTCTGGGCCAGTGCCCAAGATGCATTTTAGTGGCAGAGGGGAACCTGTTCGTGTGACTAGACCTGGCAGGAGGTAGTCAGGTGTCCGAGGTTTGCAAAACATGATGGAGGTGCCAGCAAACTCATGGTCTTGGTGGCTCCTCACCCCATCCCCTCCTTACCCACCTCTGCAGTGAGGGGAGGAGAGGGGCTGAATCCAGGACACACAGGCCTGTGAAGCTCTGAACTGTAGAATGGAGAACAGGGAAGGCTCTGCCACCTGATGGCTGATCCTCCTACCAGGCACCACCAGGACTATTTGCTACCTTTTTAAATTTTGCGGTGCTGGGAATGGAGCCCAGGGCCTGCCTTACAGAGGCTAGGCAAGACACGTGCTGACCTATGCCCCCCAGCCCGTTTCCTCCTGAAAGTAGGATATCTCCGTCTTCCAGAGCCAGGAGCTTTGGGCCTCCTGAGCCCTACAGGTGTCTGCAGAGCCTTCCTGGCATGTGGACTCCACAGCCCCTGTGTTTTGCATGAGCTGCTTTACCGTGGAGATCCTGGGACACCCAGAGCAGCTCCCAGCCCAGCTCCCAGCCCCACTCCTGCCCTGTTGCTTCCTGTGAAAATACTATACTAACCTTGGGGTTAGGTTAGAGTTTGGAGGGCTGCGGTACCTGGCACAAACTGGGTGGCTTCAAACAAAGTTATTCTACTCAGGAGGCAGAGATCAAGAGGATCGAGGTTCAAAGACAGCCCCAGGCAAATAGTTATCGAGACCCAATCTCAAAAATACCCAACACAAAACCAGGTTGTCAGGGTGGCTCAAGTGGCAGAGTACCTGCCTAGCAAGTGTGAGGTCCTGAGTTCAAACTCCAGTACTGCCAAAAAAAAAAAAATTACTCTTCTCATCTGGAGGACAGAAGTCTAACATCATGAGGTAAGCAAGAAATTGCTCTCTCTAAAGGTAAATCCTTCCTGCCTTTTCCAGCTTCTGTGGCCCCCTACATCTCTTGGCTTGTAGCTGTGTCACTCCATCTCTGCCACATAGCCTTCTTCCCATGTCCTCTCTCCTTCCAAGGAAGTTTGTCATTGGACCCAGGGCCTACCCAGATCATACAGGATGACCTCATATTAAAACCTTTAACTTAATTAACTTAATTATACTCTCAAAGGCTATTCTCTGAATATGTCATGTTCACACATTCAAAGCAGGTGAGTATGGGTATGTTGCTTTGCCCTCTGGGATCCTGGCTCAGGTAACGCTATACCCTCTGGAAAAAGAGACATACCTGCAGAGCTTCAGGAACACAGGGCCTACTAACAGGCTGTGTGGCTCCTTGACTCTGACACCTCCTTACAGAGCTTTTTTTTTTTTTTTTATACTGGGGTTTGAACTCAGGGCCTTGCACTTGTTAGGCAGGTGCTTTTGAGGCCCCAGGTGCCTTCCTCCCTTTTTTGGAGGTACTGGAGTTTGAACCCAGGGCCTCACAGGCATTCTAACACATGAGCCATGCCCCCAGGCCTTTTTTGCTTTATTTTCCAGGTAGGGTTTTGCATTTTTTGCCGAGGATAGGCCTTAGACTACAACCTCCTGCTTAGGCCTCCCACCTTGCTGGGATTACAGGCACTTGTTACCATGCCTGGCTTTTGAGAGATGGGGGCTCTCAAACTTTTTTGCCTGGGCTATCCTTGAATTGCTATCCTCCTGATCTCTGCCTCCCAAAGAGCAAAGATTACAGATTTGAGCCACCACTCCTGGCCTACACAGAGCTCTGGACATAGTGTCATAGGCAGTCCCCCTCAGTGATCTAGAAGGGTGATGCCAAGGAAGAAGTAATGAAGTTTTCCTGCAGAGAGAGGAAGGAGAGGTGTCAACAATAACACTGCAGGCAGCCTGCAAGCCTCTGCTCCTTTCCCGGGCCACCCCCCAGCAGCTTCCAAGAAGGCCAGCCCTTTGTACCCTCCTGTCCCGTCTCCTTACCTGTGATGGTTGCCAAGTACCTAGTTAAACTGGGAAAGCCATTGAGGCAGACAGGGATTGGTCCACCCAGGGGTGTATATGGGAGTAGAGTCCCAGGATGGGTGTCAGCACCTTGTGGAGTGCCTGCTGGTGAGGTATGAAGAGGACTGCCACCCGGAAGGTTCTTGGGTCAGGAACACTGCTTTGCAACCTCTGGACAGCTCAGCAGCCCTAGCTGTCTGGCCATCAGAGCTCTGAACCAGCTGTGAGCATCTGGATATAGGGCAAGGGAAGGTGGGTGGCTTTTGACCTGTTTGGTTCTCAGTCACCCTCTGTCGCCTAGTTAAGCCTGTGGCTAGGTTATGGAGTCTCTGAGTGGCACAACAGCAACACTTACTACTGCCAGCCTCTTGGTGCTGCTGGGTACTTCAGACAGACCCCGCCCTTAGGGTTTTATAGAATAGCACCTTGCACACCCTGGCAGCTCTGCACGGTGCCTGAGCGGGGCCTGTCTGGCACTGAATCCTGACAGTGAGCACTGTAAGCACAGAGATAGGGGCTGAAGGCCGTGTGTTGTAAGCAGGGCTAGGACCATGGCTATGCTGGTAGAGGCAAGCATGCACACATGGGGTGAAGGGGGCTTTGGGGTGAGCCAGAGAGGTGGGATGCTGCTTTGGGGAACATAGGCTGTTTCCAGTGAAGTTCCCCTTGGAGCTCAGAGGATAAAAGATGTGGCTTGCCTGAATTGTAAGGTCTACCAATGACCAGTGGTGGCACTTGACCCTGAGTTTGCTGGGAATGACACTACTCACATGGTGCTCCCCCAGCCTCTCTTCCCCATTCGTATGAAAAAGGCTAAAGGGAAAGGCAGGGCTAGTGTTCTCCAAGGTGGGGGGACACTTCTAAGGATACCCCCAACCCTTCTGTCTGTCTGTAGATGCCTGAGCAAGGGTGACCTGCCCAAGTGGAGAAACTGCACTGGAATATTCCAGAGCTTTCCTCACTCCTACTGTTCTGAGTCACTCTGCCTCCTGGGGAGGGCGAATCAGCAGCGCTGCTGCCTTAGATGCCCGCATGTCTGGCTGCATCCGCCTCTCTGCCAGAGGGTTGATGATACAGCCATGGAGGCGGGCGTGGGTGGCTGGAATGTGTACCTCCTGCCCACAGCAGCCACCCCTGGCTCAGCATGCATCACTGCTGGAGAGAAAGGAGGCTAGCTGGTGTGGCTGTGTGGGGGACAGAAGGAGGAGCTTAGCCTGTGTCTGGCAGCTGTGGGTGGCAGGGAGGAAAAGGGACAGAGAGCTTTCCCACGTCACCGTTGCACACTTCCCCAGGGACCACCTACACTGATCACATCGCTGGTCCCCGCACAGCGGGTGGGGGAGGAAATGGGAGCCTTTCTAAGCCATCCCGCTGCCTGGGCTCTGCCTGGGATGGCTTCGACCACCTGGGGCGCGGCAGTCTGAGCATCTTCCTCTCTGCAGGAAAGCCGGGTGGTGTTCATGTGCACATGCCATGGTCTCATCCATCAGCAGGTCCAGGGAGCCCTGCCTCGTGCCAGGCGTCATCTGTGTTGAGAGACAGTCATTACAGTATGCCATAATAAGTTGCAATAACAGTCTGTCTCTTGAACAGTTAAGATAGGCAGTAATTGCTTGGACCATGACTGGCTGCAGATAACAGAAACCACAAAAGTGAAAGCAGGGATTGGGGTTGGGGGCTGCTGCCTTCTGAGGTGAGAGAGGGAAGCTGACAAATGCACAGAGGCTCAGAGCCTTTTGAGGTGCAGAAGGTGGCCAGCAGCTCTGTGACGCCAGAGTGGAACTCACAGAATAGAGGAGATAAGATTGCTCCATGGGGGTGTTGGGCTGGGGTAGTGGGTGTGGCCAGAGGATCTGGGCTTCATCCCATGGGCAGCAGTGAATCCTCAAAGCTGGGGTTTAGAGAGATGCAGTGGGGTGCAAGTAGGGGGTTCGAGGTAGAGGATACATTACAGGGAGCTCGGGGCAGGATGGTGGCCAGTATGACCATCGCAGGAATGGGAATGGGGTGATGGTGAACACGCCCCCAAGCAGGCTGTCTCCGCAGAGACTGAGCCCTGCAGGGAATTCCCGGACTCAGCCCCTGAGTGAGGGTGGGGTGGGGAAGGCTGGGCAAAGGAAAGGTGAGCTGTTGGACAATGAGGGCAGCAGTGGGAGGGGAGATCAGCCCAAGTGGCGGTGAGAGTTGACTGTGTACTTCTCTCTTATCTTGCCAGAACTCCCTGGGCTGAACCAGCTAGTTCTTCCTCTTCCTTTTTCTTGAAATGAGACTTGTATCTTTGTTTTGTTTTGTGTTTTGAGTACTGGGGTTTGAACTCCGGGCCTCACACTTGCTAAGCAGGTGCTCTACCACTTGAGTTTCGCACCTGCAGTTTGATAGGCAGACTCTGGCAGTGTTGAAATGAGCATGTGACACTCCTAATAAGCTGGATTTTGATGGTGAAATTTGAAATGGAGCCACCAGCTCAGAGGCTTAGTTCCATCATTTAAAAGCAGAAAATAGCAACTTCTTTCCCAGATATGTTTGCCAACTCCAGAGGGTTAATTATCTATGGGCACAGAAGTAGTGAAGCAGAGGATCTTGGCAGGACTTCCAGGATTCGTGTCATCATTGCTTCGAATCTGTTTCATCAGCGTTGAGTAGAACTTTTAGGGATTTTGAAATACTGCAGGCTGTATCAGTGCAGAGGAGTCAGGCAGCTACGTTTGCAAAGTGTCATTTTGACTCCTGGTTTAATAAGACTGCTAGTTTTTGGTTTGTTACTTTAGTGATGATATTGGTTTTGAAGTTTTTGAATGACCATCTGGACATAGGTCATAAGCACACGGCTGGATGGATTAGCGTGAAGTGAAGGCAGCCCTTGGAAGAAGCAGAGGCTCTAGAATGTGGCCAGCACCTGGGAGCCCCTTTCAGGGCAGCTGCATTAGAGGTTCTGTCTCTGGCTGGCTGTTGCGCTGTCTCACTGTCTGTCCATTGTCTTTTTTTCTCCCTCTTATTTTGGAGATGGGGGTCTCTTGAAATATTTGCCTGAATTTGGCCTCAAACTGCAGTCCTCTCAATCTCAGCCTCCCAAGTAGCTAGGATTACTGGTATGAGCTATTGGCACCCAGCAGGACCCTAGTTTTAAGGCGACTGGAACTGTGCACTGTTCAGAGTACATTTTCTGCTGTTTCAGAACTGTTGACAACTCTCACCTCCTGTTGTCTCCTTGCCCTGGTTGCTCCAACTTACAGTGTTTCCTTTGTTCTTGGTTTCCTGAGGTACTGACTGGGGGATGTCTGAGTTCTCTTCTCTTCCTGTTTATTTATTTGTTTTTGCAGTACTGAGGTTAAAGTCAGGGCCTACACCTTGAGCCACTCCACAGCCCTTTTTTTGTGATGGGTATTTTTGAGATAGGGTCTTGCAGAACTCTTTGCCTAGGCTGACTTCAAACTATGATCCTCCTGATCTCTGCCTCCTGAATAGCTAGGATTACAGGCGTGAGGCACCAGCACCTGGCACTTCCTGTTTATTGATAGTCCTGGCAGTGACGTTATCAGGTTTTCCTGTCATCTCTCCCCTCCTGACCCTGGTGGGCACATCTCTAGATCAACAGTAGTGTTCATGGCTGTTGGACAGCTGTTCCTGAGCCCTGGGTCCTTCATTCCCATACCCTGGCAGGTCCTTTGTCTGGCCCCTGCTGGTGTGGGACACATTTGGTTAAGGTCTTGTGGAGTGGCCCTTGGATGACCTCAGCTGTGGACGTGAACATTAATGGTTTACCTGAGACCTGGCTGGGAGTTGGAAAGGGACAGAGGGGAGACTGTGCCTTCTGGGGAGGACTGGGCTTGGCTGTGGCCGTGGGCAGAATGGGGAATGATGTAGCTGGAGAGTTGGGGAGCAAGGGAGGCTCTTTCTGCAAACAGCCCAATCCAGAGGGAGTTGGGTGTAAGACACAGGTGACCATTGAGGCCAGCTCTCTGGAAGGCGGTGGGAAGTAGCAGGGTGGCCTGCATGAGGAGGGGATGGTCACTGTGAGGACGGATCCACTTTGATGATGCCAGGAGAGAGGCCAACTTGGAGAGGCAAGAGGATGAGGCTGGCAGAGACCCAGGTGATATTGGGTGAAAGCTGAGCTGTGAGCTGAGGCGTGTCCTCTGTCCTGTGCCTACTCTCTGTACATCCAGTGGCCAAAGGATGCCGAGGACCCGGAGAGAACATGGCTCATCCCGAGCGAGCCATGGCCCACTGAATGTGGAAAGATGGAGCTTTTCATTTTTAAAAAAATGAGATTTTAAACTCAGTGATAGTTTTCAACTGACTCGGTGATCCATAGTTTTAAATTTTGTTCAGTGTTGCCTTGTGCACTGAGTGAACTTGCTGAAATTGTAGTTCCTGTGCTGCCCAGTGGGGCACTGCCCAGCTTCTTCACTGGAGTGGGGATTGGAAACCCAAATGTTCCTAAGAGGGCCTCGCAGTCCTTTCTCAGTATCAGGACAGACAGACACTGATTTTGTTAGGAGATTGGTGACCTGGGCCAGAGGTAGGATCGATCAGAGATGGGCTGGAGAGGTAGCAGGACTCTTTAGGGCAGGGCCAGTTCACACAGTCCTAGTAGGTGGTGTGGTCCTTGTGGCCCGGCCATATGTGGGAAGACCATGTTTATTAGGTGGGACCTCCAGAATGAGCCATGAACCCTGGTAAGTTCCCGCAGGCTTGGCAGGGGCCACAGGGGGTTTCCTATGTAAAGGAACCAGGGAAGCCCATGACCAGGCATGTGCAGCTTCAGAAGTACCAACGTCCTGCTGCCTTGTGGGAACTTCCTGTTCCACACTGGTGAGCCCTAGCCCACAGGCCCAGGGGTCTGCACTGCACTGGTCTAGCTCAGTTGCTCTTCCTCCCCTCCTGCAAGTGGTGCTCAGGCCATCGTTTGGGTACCTGCTGTGAGTTTGTGGGGCCCCAGACCAGTGCTCTTACAAACCTGTCCCTGCTGTTTATCCTGCAGGTTTTGGGATTTGAGATCGATGCAGTGAACTCTGTCCAGTTTTCAAACCACACAGGTAAGACCTGGAGACAAGCAGTCATGGTAGAACTGAGTGTGGATGTGAGACATGGCTCTGTGGAGCCAGGCGCCACCCTCCTGTGGCCGGGAAAAGGAACCTGCAAATACTGCTCAGTGCTTGACCCACACAGCCACCACGGTGCAGGGGCTGGGGTTCACCTCATCCTTGAGTGTGTGCTGTTGAGTTGGATCTCTGCTTGGCTGCTCTGAAGCTGTGTGACCCAGAACAGGTAGTAGGACCTCTCTGTGCCTCAGTTTCCTTGTCTATAAAACAGTGGCAATTATAGCACCTGCTGTGGGGTATGAAAGTTAGGCAGACGAGTTTTGTCACGTGCTGGCTGATGCCTGGCTCAGAGCCATGTCCTGCCGTCAGCCCTGTGATATGCCCGTTCACACCCTTGTCTGCCAAGGCAACACCTCTGGTGCAAGGAGTGGGTCCCCATGTGGTTGATCCATAGTGGGGGTGTAGGTGGTTCTGGATTCCCTCAGTTAATACCAGTGCCACAGGGAGGGGGTGTTTGTGTAGCTGTCTCACCCTGGGGAATCTGAGAACATGGAGCCTGTGGTGTTTGAAATCTGCCCTAGTCTCCCGGTGGCAGGAGAACAAAGGCACTGTGCTCTTTGAAAGACTCCCAGCCCTGTGCTGACATTGTTCTGAACCTAGAGGAACTTCAGATGCTGAGTGTCTCAGAGCAGCCCTGCTGAGTACGGCAGGACACACAGGGCAGCTGCATCCTGGTGCTCAGGAGGGCTGGCCAAGGTTCTTTTGGATGAGAGTTTTCTTGGAGGGAGTATTTTGAGTTATAAATTGGGAGGGGAGAACACTGGCCTGACACAACTGGGGGCTCTATTTCTCACCGGAAGTCCTCAGTAGCTTGTGCTGTTGAGGTGCCTGGTGCTCCGACTTGGCTGCATCCCAGAAGGCCAAGGTCCCTACAGGGAACTGCTCCCAAACCCATGGGCTCTCACTGCTGTTTTCACACCCTACTCTTAGAAACATTTGCTTACTTCTGTTTAAGTAAATAAGCCAGACTGGTGAGGATACTACATGGTGAGGTTGTATTTACCTCTGAGGAAATACAGATTTCCATGTTGGTATGGATTACTGTCAACAGACCTTGCTCACTAGCTCGATGCCCAGTTCCAAGATGGTGCAGCTCTCAGACCTTAGATGTGAGCAGCTGCCTTCTGCCTCCATGTACCATTTTTTTTTTTAAGTGGGACTGATGGGACAGGGCTTTGCACTTGCAAAATAGACACTGTACCACTTAAGCCATGCCTCCAGTTCATTTTGCTCTGGTTATTTTGGAGGACTCTTGGACTATTTTCCCAGGCTACTCTCAATCTTGACCTCCCGATCTTAGCCTCCCAAGTAGCTAGGATTATAGGTGTGAGCCACCAGTGCCTGGCTTCCATGTAGCCTTTTCTGCTACATGGGGTAGGACTGGCCACTCTAAGAAATCCAAAACAGAAAGGGGTCTCTGGCCTGCCCAAGCAGGGGTGGGATGGAGACCCCCTAGTGCTTAGAAGCCTACCAGGTATAGGGCAAGGCTGAAGCGGGTAGAGCTTCCTGCCAGGCTCCAGCCTCCCAGGTGCCATGTGGGCTAGCCTGGCTCAGGGACCCCGATGTAGCCCCGTCTGTGACTGGCTCCACCACACTGCACTTGGCCACATAGGTTTGTCTGTCTGTGCAGCCTGCTCAGGAAGGTTTGGGTGATCCAGACGCCTCTGGATCACCACCTCAAGGGAGTGGTGAGGCTGGGGAGTCACACCTGCCCCATGGCACATGGCACCAAGGAGCTGGCACCCTGACTTGGCCACCCTCTCACAGCCCCTGGGTCACTCCCCACTCTCTGGTGGAGTGAGTGGAACACCCATGATTTTGCCATCTCTATCCTTGTGCCACAGTCCACAGTGGGCTAAGAAGCATTTGTTTATCTTGCCTTTGTAAATTTCTGTTCTCACCTCTCAGCATTATTAAGGTCACTCACAAAGACACTTACTGCCACATGGGCCTAGAGGCACCACATGTGCGCCTCCATGGACCAGGGCTATGCCTCAGAGCTTGCTGATGAGGGCTCTGCTGTGTGTCTGCCACTGTGCCCTGGGCACAGGTGTACCACATGGGGTTGGAGGAAGTCAGTAGCATGGCAAGACTAAGTCTGATTTGGTCATGACCACCTCCAGTACTTGAACTAGGACTTTGTGGTTGGAGTTGTGCTTTGCAGTTCTAAGAATCCATCCTCCGGAAAGTGTTACTTACGTGCTGGAGGAGTATGTTAACAGGGTTGTGTGTGAGTCAGGGAGGCTGGGGACCCCTGGATGCAGGGAAGCTTTCATTGGTGAAATGTGGGGTATCCATGGTTGGCCCCTGCCTGGCACGAATGAGTACTCCCTGTCCCCAGTGGTGCTCAGACATGGAGATGTATCCAGGCATCCTGCATCTTGGGAGGGGCTCCTGGAAGGCTGGCCATCTCAGAGGGAACACTTCACCCCAGACACCTGTTGGGCCAGGGGCAGGTTGTAAACCAGGGCTGGGTTGTTTCTCATTCACGTTTTTCTCTTGCTCAGGGTTTGATCTACAATTTGCTGTCATTGTGATTTAATAAGCTTTGGGGGAGGGGAGAGGGCAGGGAGAGGATGAGCCCCTGCCTGCCAGAGGGCCCAGGTGACGGCGATGAACAACTCAGCTTGGATGACTGGAGACATGCAGAGGAGACAGAGAACACACTGTGATTGGGGTGTGCCCTGAGCTGCTCCTGCTGAAGACAGAAGTTAGGTAGCTGTGTGTGCCCAGCACGTCCCTCCCCATGTCCCATCTCTTTAGGACACAGGTTCCACAGGTGTCTGCAGGCCACCTGGGGTGCCAAGTATCTGCTGTACTGGATTAATTACAGCAGGAAGTGGCCATGGGAAGGTGGAGGCCACTGACCTCCCTGGGACCCTTATAGCAGAGCCGCTCTCAGGGGTTGGACTCACTTGGATTTGGACAGGTGCAGCAGCGGGGGAGAGGGGTTGGTAATGCCCACTGAGGCACTGGGTGATCTCATCCACGCCTTGGGCCAACCCCTGGGCATCCTCAGGACGGGTGGGCAGTTGTCATCAGCTGAGATGGCCCTCGGAATCTGTGGCTTCCATAGCTGCGACTGCCTTATATCATGGGTCTGCGCCTTCTGCTCTCCCTGCAGGCTATGCCCACTGGAAGGGTCATGTGCTGAATTCCCAGGAGCTCCATGAGCTGTACGAAGGGCTGACGCTGAACAGCGTGAATAAGTATGACTACGTGCTCACAGGTGAGGGGCTCCCCCGCGGTGTGGAGTCAGGAAGGCCCACAGCCCCCTTCCTGGGCTCGTGCCTGGTCCCTGCCTTCTTGGTGTGCCATAGGCAATACCACACCCCTGGTTGCTTTAGGTTCCTGCCACACTGTGCCAGGCTCAGGCCATGGGTGTCCTAGGGCCACCCTGGGAGGTTTTTTTTTTTTTCCCCAGCACTGGGTTTTGAACTCGGGGCCTCACACTTGCTAGTCAGGTACTTTATCATCACTTGAGCCACATCCTCTGCCCCTTTTGGCTTTAGTTATTTTTTAGATAGGGTCTTGTGGGGGGCGGTTGCCTGGGGCCAGCCTCAGAACACGATACTGCTTTCTGCAGTCTGCATACTGGGATGACAGACATGTGCCACCATCCCCACCTTATCAGTTGACATGGGAGTCTCGCTAACTTTTTGCCTGGGCTGGCCATCCTCCTGATCGCCACTTCCCAAGCGAGGATTCTGTAAACCACTGCACACAGTTCGCTTTTTATACCTGGTTAAAAGTGACTGTGTTTATTTATTTATTTATTTATTTATTTTACAGTATCGGGATTTGAGCTGAGGGCCTGCGCCTTGAGCCACTCCACCGACCCTTTTTTGTGTGAAGGTTTTTTTAGAGATAGGGTCTCAGGGTCTCAGAAACTATTTGCCCAGGCTGGCTTTGAACCACAATCCTCCTGGTCTCTGCTTCCCAAGTAGCCAGGATTATAGGCGTGAGCCACCGGCACCTGGCTGACACGTTTATTAATGCAAATGGAAAAAAAAGAAAATATAAGTCTTCTATGGATCACCCATAAATGGGTCCATTCATTTAAAACTTCACTCACCCATTTTTTTGGGCTCACCTAGTCTCCTCTCCATGACCATAGACCATTGGGGCCCCCACGCCTGCCATGGCCACTGGTTGTCTGGCCTGTCCTCTCTCCGCTCCATACCGGGACAGTTCAGATGATGCTGTTGGTGCCATGGCTGTGGGTGGTTTGAGAAGATAACCCTGAATTTTCCCTCCCCAAGGTTACACAAGGGACAAGTCCTTCCTGGCCACAGTGGTGGACATTGTGCAGGAGCTGAAGCAGCAGAACTCCAAGCTGGTGTATGGTGAGTGCTGGGCTGTGGACACTTGGCCTACTGTGCAACCACGGCTGTGGTCATCACCCTTCTGAGTGGGGCTGAACCCAGAGAGGACCACACCCCTTTCCTGCTCTGCCTCCCCTGGCTAATCGGCTCTTTGTGCTGGGCCTTCAGGAGGAGCCTTCTAAGCTCTGTAGGGGTTGGAAAGTTTTCAGGTGAACCTGGGCAGGCCTGTGTGTGAGAGAGGAAGGGCTCAGATGTGCTAAAAATCAGGGTCCGTGTCAGAAGGCCTGGGGCGCCCAAGATGTGTGTGACCACACTGGTCCTTGAGGATGGCAGTGTGTGGGCACTCCAGGCAGGGTCACGGCCAGCGTGGAGGGTGGAGGTAGCGGTGACCATATGCTGTGTTATCGGCATGGAGTGGCCTCTCCAGATTTCAGGTCTCCCAGGCATGTGACTGATAGCAGACCTCTGCTTGGTCCATGGTGTAGCCTGTTGTCCAAAGGGAACATGCTCAGGTTTAGTGTGCCCTCAGCCAGGACAGGACAGTGGGGGTGTGCCAGCTTGGGTGGCCTGAGATGAATGATTTTAAGTTACACAAAAATTAAGCAAAGGACCTAGTCATCTCAGGCAAAGAAATGAAAAGTGCCAAGGGAGTGAGGTAAAGGAAAACGGGAGGCCATGACTTTGTCATTTTGCCTTGGTATATGTCTGATGTTAAAAAAAGTTGAGGAACTGCTTCACACCATGTAGGATTAAAAAAACAAAACAAAATAGCAAGTGTTGGCGAGGATGTGGGAAGTTGGAAACATCAGGCCTTGCTGATGGGAACGTAAAATGGGAAGGCCACTGCAGACAAGAGTACAGCAGATCCTCAGAAAGCTAAAGTGGAGCCCAGTGTGATGACACTCCCCTGTAATCCCACTACTTGGGAGGCCAAGGCAGGAGGATCAGGAATTCGAAGCCCACTGGGCAACACCCTGTCTCTAAAAGAAAAAAGGTAAACGTAGTCAGCGTACGACCTAGCCCTTCCATTGTCCATAGTATCCCCAATAATTGAGGCCGGCGTGTTGGAGTTGTGCACTGTGCTCACAGTTCCAAAGGTGGAAACAGCTCAGGTGTCCATTGACAGATGAACGAGACGATGCAGCCGCTCCCTAACGCGGAGTGTCACTCGGCCTTAGAAAAGAAGGAAAATCCGAACCGAGCTACCACACAGATGAATCTTGAAACGTGTTTGGTGAAAGAAGCCAGTCACAAAAGGGCAAATACGATTTTGCTTCGAGGAGTTTTTCTTTTTTTAGTGGTGGGAGGGATGGGATCCAGGGTCCTGCACGTGCTAGGCTAGCACTCTACTGCAGCCCCCACGCTGACACGGAGTGTCTAGAACAGGAAAATTCAGAGGCAGAGTGGATTTGATGTCCTGGGAGCTGGAAGGAGGAGGGGGACCTAGGTTTAATGGGACAGTTTCAGTGTGGGAAGAGGAAATACGTGGAATGTGGTAGTGCTGACGGTTGTACAACAGTCACTCATCCTTGACGCCCCAGAATCAGGCATCATTTAGTAATGGTTACAGTGACAGAGTTCGTGTCACATGTTTTTTAATCACATTATGAAAATTTAAAAAGAAAACAACGCGAGGCTGCTGACCAGATGCTCTGTCTCCACAGTGTGTGATCCTGTGATGGGCGACAAGTGGAATGGTGAAGGCAAAATGGTGAGTGCTGCCATGCTGTCACTAAACACATGGTGTGGGAAGCCAGTTCTGTGACACCGAAAGGGTGGGTCCCCTTCAGGGGCTGAGATGCCACCCTGTTAGGAAGGAGCAGCTAAGCTGGTCAGGTCATGGGTAAACACATGAGGCTCTGTACCACCTGGCCCTGCTGTGGCCACAAACATGTCAACAGCAGGTGTGGCTGTCCTTTAATAAGGCAGGAGGACACTGAAAGTTGAATCTCCTATAACTTTTGTATGTCACCACATTTCCTTTTTTTATGGCATTTCTTTCCTAATCATTTAAAATTGCAGACATCACTCAGCTCACTAGTTGCTCAAAAACAGCAGGGCTGGAGGTGTGGCTAAAGTGGAGAGGTCCTTCATTGCAAGTACAAAGCCCTGAGTTCAAACCTCAGCCCCACCAAAAAAAAAAAAAGGCCAGCACAAATAGGCCTTTGTGCTTTTCAAGTCGATCAGGTCTTAGAAATCCACAGGTGAAGTCTGTCCTGCAGTCATCACAGCAGGTGGAACTGTAGCAAAGGTCATCCTGCTGGCAGGGTCCACCATTGGCAGTTTAACACCCAAACTCTCTTACGTACACCTTCTCTGTTGGCATGGTCTGGTTCGTCCAACTGCTCACTGTGAATTCCCTAGCACAGCCAGCCTGACTTGGGCTGCACAGGACACATGAAGGCCCAGGCCCTCCCTGCCCTGCTTGGTCAGTGGTTGAGGCTGGATCAGTGGGCAGTTACCCAGACCAGGTGGCTGGTTTGCTCAGTGGCTGTATCTTCATCTGTTTTCTCTAGTCCCTGTTTTCTGGAAGGTTGCCTGCACAGGCCTGTCCCTCCCTCCTTCTTCCTGGTGCTGCTTGCTTGTTGTGAGCTTGGTGACCCAAGAAGAATGCTTGTGTTTGGAAGAGCTGAGGTCCCTGGTCCAGTTCAGTGTAACTGCAGGGTCTGGCTCCCTGGTTTTGATCAAGCTTGCTTTTCGCTTGGGAGCTGAGACCAGGCTGGACATGAGATGCTATCTGAGGTTCAAATGAGCAGAAATCCCTATCCCAGCTTTCTACATAGGCTAGAAGGAACACCTGGGGCCTCCCGACCCCAAAGCAGCTTGTGTTTGTTTGTTTGCAGTCCTGGGGATCAGACCCAGGGCCTTGCACACTGTAGACAAGCACTCTACACTGAGATATGCTTTAGCCAGCAAAGTCAGGCTTTAAAGAGTCTTGGTCAGACCTAAGAAACCCAGGGGCTGGGTTGTACAGGGCACCTCCACCCACGCCCAGCACTTCCTCAGCTTGTGCCAGAGTACTGGCTGACAAGCGCCCACTTTGGGCACTCAGCACCAAGCTTATGTACATCTACTCAGGACCTTGGCTGTCTAGGGATGTTCCCAAGCACTGTGGGAGTGTGGCTTAGCAACTGACCATTTGGCCAGTGCCTGGGGAGGTATCTCTAAAGCAAGCAAAAGTATTTCAGATCCTCGGGTTGGACTTTGGCTTTGGAACTCTTTTTCAAAGAAGGCTGAGCCAGGCATGGTAGTGCGCACTTAGAATCCCTGCTACTCAGGAAGCTGAGTCAGGAGGATTGAAAGTTTGAGGCCCAGCCCCAGCAACTTAGTGAGACCTTGCCTCAAGGAAAAGGGATGTGGGAGAGGTAGGGAGCTGGAGGTGTGGCTCTGAGGTAGACCACCTGCCTGCCTCGGGTGTGTGAGGTCCCGGGCTCCATCCTCACTACTGCAAAAAAAAAAGGATCCAGAAGCTAAAGAAAGCTAGTCTGTTAAATTGTTTGTTGGACGGTTTAAGACAAAAAGGAGTCAATCCTGGGTCATAACCTTGACTTAGGTAGAGACAAGAAGACCCACAGGTCAGGTTCTCGGAGTCCGATGGGCACCTGGCATTCCCAGGCCCCAAGATCCCTAGGGCCTCTCTCTCCACGCCTCCTTTGTTCCCCAGCCCCTCAGCCCGTGAACTGAGGCCTTCTACTCCAGACCTCCTTCTGTCCCAGACCCTCTGCCCCTGCGGTTGCTCAGGGAGGCCCTTCTCCATCCCTGCTCTGAGCCTTGAGCCCCACCTCAGGACTCTCAGTGTGGTGTGGATATCCTCTCCACAGTGCAGTTTTCATTTGTCCCCAAAGGCCCCCTCTGGAGCCTGGACCCCAGGGCTTTAGGGAGAGTGTCCTCTGCTGCCCCGTCTTTGTGGTGAGTGAGCCTCCCTTCCTGTCTCCTGTGCTCTTTAGTACGTTCCAGAGGACCTCCTTCCAGTGTACAGGGACAAAGTGGTGCCGTTGGCAGACATCATAACTCCCAACCAGTTTGAGGCCGAGTAAGTAACTCACAGCCCCAGTTGTGAGGCTCCCCCAGGGAGCATGGTGGAGAACACTGCAAGTGTCGCTGTACCTGAGACACAGGGGCAGACACAGCCCCGGGCCCACCCTGGCCTCTAGCTGGGCGGCAGCTGGACAGTCTTACTCAGACTCCCAGTTGACCATCCTGCTGGCATAGCATCTCCTGCTGACCAGATGCCCTGGGGTCTGGGTGGGGAGGGCATTCCCTGAATGCTGAGGGCACACATGGCTGGAAATGCGTCCAGGAGACAGCTGCAGTAGCGATGCAGAGGGACGGACCGGCCACCCAGATCTCTCTGTGCGGTTCCGAGGTGTGTGCTGGCCCCTGGACTAACTGAAGAAGCTGACCATGGGACGGTCTACCATTTACCTAGAGCACAAGGCTGCCCTGTCCCATCTGGCCAGTAGCTGGCTCCCTGCTGTCCCTGAAGCCTCTGACGCACCCACAGGTGGCTAGGGTTCCCTGACCTGGGTCCATTCAAGCTGGGGGATGACATCTCACCTAGAGGACCCTGAGCTATTGATGGGCTCATGAGAAAGTGGTCCACTGACCATTTGCCGTCCTTGGAGTTCTGTGGACATTGGTCACCTGGCTGGCGCTCTGTGCTGTGGCACGGGTCACTGGGGGGTCATGTGCTGCTATTCCTCACTTTTGTCACTTAGCTTGGAACCTCCCCAACCATCATCACATACGAAAGTTCCCTTTTAAAGCCATATTTACTTCTTTTCCAGCCTCGCCCTGACTGCATGTGTCACAGTGGTCACCTGGGCTGTGGTGGCCAGTGGATGCTAAGCTAGCTGCCAGGGCTGCCACACTTGAGGGAATGTTGCATGCATAATCCCGAGGGGGCATCTCACCTCGTGCCCTTTGCCCTGTTCTGCCTTCCAGGTTACTGACTGGCAGAAAGATCCACAGCCAGGAAGAAGCATTAATGGTAAGGAGACCCTCTGTGGCCACGCTGTTTCCAGGGGAGGGGTTCAAGCCTCATTGCAGCAGCATCCCGCCTTTCTGTCACCCTGCCGGCACCCCGTCACTTCTGTTCTGGCCCCTCAGGTGGCTGCTGGTTATGGTCTAAGCAGGCACGAGTGTCTCAGGGCTGTGTAACACAGTGCCACGACCATTCGTTCCCTCCTGGGTCTGCAGTCTGAGTGCAAAATCTAGGTATGGCAGGTGGTGACTCATTTTGATGGCTCCAGGGAGGGCCCTGCCTGCCTCTCCAGCTCCTGACACATGGCAGTGCTTGGCACCCAAGGCTCATCGTCATCTCTGTGTCCCTCATCACATGGGCATCCTCTTCCTGTGTAAATGCCCTCCTTAGGACAGCAGTCATGTCCTTATGACAGGACACATCCCACTCCATTGCAACCATCTTACTTCCAGAAAATGTCACACATTCTGAGGTGTTGGGGGTTAACACTTCAACATAGCTTTTCAACCCACAATAGGCAACAACACTTGTTAGTGCCTACTGTGTGCTGGGCACCTTGTGAGCTCAGCAGTCTCTCCTACTGAGTCTACAGCCCATAGTGTGTCATTGTGCCCCCTCCCTGTTATGTCCCTGGTGACCTTCAGTCCATGCCTTCTTGCCAGAGACAAGCAGCAGGCAGGAATGAGCCACCAGACGCCTGTGGTGATAGCTGTACCCTAGGCCTGTGAGCTGCGTGTCTGCAGGGCAGGTATACAGCTCATGTGTCCTGAGCAGTGGTCCCACACCCCAGCACAGCCACCCCAGCCGGAGGCCCAGCAGGCTGTATGTGTATGTGTATGTGTGTGTGTCTGTCTGTCGTGTCTACCGGACAGGTCTGGCACTACAGGACAGGCCATCTGGGAGACAGGTTGGGGCTAGCAGCCAGCCCAGGCTGAGACTTGATTTCCAAATTTTTTCCCAGTTTGTCTCTGGGACCTGCTGAGGCCCTACACTGAGTCTCAGGGAAAATTGCCTTTGTTCTTCCATGCTGACACACAGCTGCAAAGGTGTGGGCAATTTGTAAAGTACAAAAGCATATGGCTCACAGTTCTGGAAGCCAGGAAGTCCAAGGTCAAGGGGTGAGCAGGTCCAGTATCTGGGGAAGGCCCCCGTTCCAGACTGGGCCCCTTCCTCCAGCCTGCTGACCCCACCTCCTCCAGAGGTCCTACCTCCTAAGGCTGCTGGGGAGCTACAGCTTGAATTTGGCTGGCTCATTCAAGCCATAGCAGGAGTCCCTAGACAGCTGCCTCCGAGCCTGGGCTTTCCCCTGCTGGGGCCAGCCTGTGGTGCTGGTCACGCCTGGGCCTGCAGCCTGCTGTGCGTTCCTCGCTCGCAGAGGGATACTCATTCAGGGATTGTGAGCACACTCGTCCTGCTGTTGGGCCTTGCTTCCAGCTGGCACCAGGCCCCGAGGCCTCAGAGCCAGCTGAGCTGGGTGGGGTACTGGTCCTGGCGTGGCATGAGCTGAGGGGTGGTGATGTTCCCGCAGTTTTGTACAAGTGTTTTATGTTGTATTGTGACTGTTGTAGGCCTGGGCACGTGTGCGTGCAAATCGTGTGTGGCATGTGTACCTGAGCTCTGTGTGTGTGTTGGGTGTGTATTTGAAGTAGATGTGTGTGCTGCACCCGTGTATAGTGTGTGCTGCATGTATCTTATGTGTGCAGTATACCTGTGTGCATATGTGGTTCACAGCCCAGCCTGGACTCAGCTGCAGCATAGGCCCCCACACAGGATCCCCTCCACCCCTGCTGAGGGATACAGGAGGACAGCAGTTCCCACGAGGGATGGGAAAAGCCAGCTCAGAGAGAGGCTAGCTCTTGCTGTGGCCATGACATGCCCTGTCCCCGAGGGGGAGGGTGTGCAGTTCAGATAGGGGTCCTCTACCACCTGTAGCTGTCTCGAGTTTTTCACCTCGGTGACCCCAGCAGGCCTCTGGCTTGGCCTATGCATGTGGTTTTCCAAGTTCTTAGCTCCTCTTCTCTCTCCGGGGGCCTGTCACATGCTGACAATGCCTTATGGCCTGGGCTTGGAATGCTAGGAGGACAGTGGCGATCGGGCCTCTCCCTTCCCCACGCCATCATCAAGCCAGCCACGGGGGGAGGTGTGTCACGGTCACTGGGCTGATGTGCTCCCTGTGCCACTGGCAGGTGATGGATGTGCTGCACTCCATGGGCCCCCACACAGTGGTCATCACCAGCTCCGATCTGCCTGCCCCACGGGGCAGTGACTACCTGATTTCTCTGGGCAGCCAGAGGATACGTAAGTGCCTACCCACCCACCTTTGCCCCTGGGCTCAGCTTCATCTGTGCAGCTCAGATGACCGGTAGGTGGTGTCAGAGAATGTTTTGGGCTCAGTGGAAGGGAAGTCACATTTTACTCAGCAGTTGGCTGGTTTCCCCAGAGCCTTTTACAGCTGAAGAAGGTCAGACCAGAGGCAGGTTTAGGACAGGTCTCTGGAGCCGGGTGGGGCAGGGCTCTGGGGATGCCACAGGCTCACTCACACTCATGCACCGAGCACTCAGATGTCCACGCTGTGTTGGTGGCACCAAAATTTCATCCCTGTTTGCAGGTTCCAAGGTCATGTGGGCCACTCTGGACTGCATAACCTGCTGATGGCCAGTTGAGTCCATCTTCTGTGGACCAGGCGTCCCAGGCTTTGAGCTGGGTTCCATGTCCCCACCCTAAGGGAGCAGGCTTCTGCTCATCTGTGATGCTTGATTATCAAATAGCACCTGGATTGCTTTTTTGTGAGCAGTATTAGTGGCATGGAAGGTTGGATCACATGCTAAGAGGGTGACCCTGAGGTCACACCCACTGGCCCCAGCTAGCACTCCAGGTGTGGCTTCTTTCCCACTCTCTGCATCTGGGGATATGTGTGTATGCCTGAGCTCACAGGCTCACACGTGTGTACACACACATACACACAGAATTCAGCACATCCAGGCGGTTCCTGGTTCCACTGTGTCCCCAGAGTCACCCTAATTGTGGCTTCTGGGGTTCCAGTCTTCCACTTCCTCCCTTGGGACAGGTGGCAGCAGGGGGTGTGGTATACACTGCTTCCTGAAGGAGGCTACCCCACGCTCTGTGTGAGCACCCCAAGAGTAGGTCATGCTGACCCTCCTGCTGCTGTGTGGGAAGAGTGGGGACAAGTCAGGCTGATCAGATCCCAATGCAGGGCCGACCCTCCACTGGCCAACAAGTCTCAGACCCAGTGACCTGGGTCTTCGTCTTTCCAGGGAGGCCAGATGGCTCCATGGTGACCCAGCGCATCCGGATGGAGATGCTCAAGGTGGACGCGGTCTTCGTGGGCACTGGGGACCTCTTTGCCGCCATGCTTCTGGCGTGGACACACAAGCACCCCAACAATCTCAAGGTCAGCTATGCACACTGCTCCCCTACATGGTTTTCCCCCGCCTGCACTTTGTTGGGAACTGGTTACAGCGGTCCAAAGAGCAAGAAGGAGAACCAGACTTATCTGGCCTTGGGCTCAGGGACCCACCCTGTTGGATTGACCTAACTCCCTTCATTTGGAAGGAGGGGTGTCAGAAACCTTCAGGGTTGGGACAATGCAAGAGAGTTTAGAATCCATGGTGGATGGAGATCTGACCTGTTTACAAAGCCCTGGATTTCATTCACACACAAAAAAACTCAAAAGCTTAGAGCCTGTACTGGACTCAGCCAGGTTTCCTCCACCCAGGGAGAAGCCCTGGGCCTGTTGCAGCCTGCCAGGTTGACCCTCTCAAAAGGGCATCTCAGTCCAGGGGTATTTCCTGGGATATAGCTGCTGCTATGTTTTGATGAACTGAGAGTCTTGAAGCTGCCCCTTGGGTACCATGGGCAGGAGGCTGAGGAGAGAGGCCTGGGTGGGTGCATGGTGATTGGTCTTTGTGTGGATTGTCTGCATGTCTATCCCACCGGCTCCATACACTGCACAGAGAGGGCGATTTTGCTCAGGTGCCTCCAGGCAGAGTGGCCCCACCGCAACTGTGATTTAATGCACTGAGAGGAGGTGTCTGGGCCTTTCCTGTGCCCTGTGCACTTTTAAGCATGTAGCTCAGCAGGGACGAAGGAGTTGTTTTTGCTTTTGTTTTTTGTTTTTTTTACAGCTTGTGTCATTTGTTTCTTTGGCTTCCTCCTGCACTGTGTGGAGAAAAGTTGCATCATGACCACTTATCAGATCTGTTCTGTCTGAGGCTGGGTCAGCTGACAGCCAGCAAGTGATGAGGCGGGAGGTGTAGCTTAGTGGTAGAGCGTCTGCCTAGCGTGCATGAAGCCTTCCGCAGCAGTAAAAATACAAAACAAAAAAGAAAGCAGGGGAGGTGAAGCCCTGGGCAGACTACAGGCCTGGCCTCAACCAATCACGGCCCTCAAATGTCCCTTGCTGTGTGCCTCTTGGGCTCAGGTGGGTGGAGCTACCCTCCCTTAAATGTGGGAGGGGCAGGAGAAAGGACTCTGGACCACGCATTGCTTAGGGAAGGAGTCAGAAGTGGGGACCTGGAACTGGGCGCCAGTGGCTCAAGCCTATAATCCTAGCTACTCAGGAGGCAGAAGTCAGGAAGATTGTGGTTTGAAGCCAGCCAGGGCAAATAGTTCATGAGACCATATACTGAAAATACCCAATACAAAGCAGGGCTGATGGAGTGGTTCAAGAGGTAAAGCACCTGCCTAGCAAACATGAGGCCCTGAGTTCAAACTCCAGTACCACCAAAAAAAAAAAGAAGAAGTAGGGACATGGAAGGGAGCCCCCTAACACTACCTCATTTGCTGGGCACACTTGGCTGCACTTCCCCTGAGGCATTTCTTTCCAGCAAGTCAGCATGGCCAAGTCTCCAGCTCCTCGTTTGTAAAATGAAGAAGTAGATCATGTCTTCATGTGTCAAGCCTGCTATAATCCCTGAACTTGAGGCTGCAACATGGGGTTCCCTCACCCTTTTGCCCCCTCCTGCCTCCCTCAGGCAGAGGCAGAGCCAGACCTGCCATGTGTAATTGACAGCCAAGGCCTCTTCCTTTGGTGCAGGGCAGCAAGAACTTGCCGACTGACACCCAGAGGAGGCCTCCCTATGAGGGCTCCAAGTCACTGAGTCAGGGAATGCATTTCATCCTCCCCCAGCACCTGAGGCCATTGACCCTGAGATGCCAGCTCTTCTCCCCTGTGGAGACTCCTGTGGAGTCTTTGTAAGTCAGTGAATCCCAGGAACTCTTGTGAAGTACCTGCTGCATGCCAGGCAAGAGCAACAGAGGTCTTGAAACATGGCCCCTTAGCACAAGGTGTCTGCTTCAGAGGGCAATGATGAATTAAACATCTGCTCCACTCTCCCTGTTTGGCGGTCAGCTTTTCATGACTGTGACAGAGCACCCAGGGCACTCAGCGAACAAAGAGTAAACTTTACTTTGACTTACAGCTCTTGTGGTTTCAGTCTGCAGCTGGCTGACCTCTTTGCTCCTGGCCTGTGGCAGCATGTGATACAGGATGACCTCATGGTGGTCAGGGAGCAAAGAGGGAGGAGAGGAAGAGAGCACAGTCCCACTATCCCCTTCAAGAAGGCCCCCCACGGACCTGAGGGCCAAGCTTCTAACACATGGGCCTCAGGAGACGTTCCAGATCCAAACCATAGCAGCAGGCATCTTTGGGCTGTCCTGCAGCCAGTCATCCAGGGAGATAGTCCATGTCCATGTAAGCATATGTGACGGTGGAACCAGCTCCCTGGTGACGAGGCAGCTGGTGCTTATGAAGTCCCCTTGGTCAGAATCTAGAAGCAGGACCCAGGTTGGCCAGGACACAGAGTCTCTGTCCTCTATGCAGGTGGCCTGTGAGAAGACGGTGTCGGCCATGCACCATGTACTACAGAGGACTATCCAGTGTGCAAAAGGTACCTGTCCTCATGCTCTGCCTTCCCATGGAGAGATAGTCCCATCTCGGGGGTGAGCAGGATAAGGAGACTGAGGTCCCTCCTAGCTTTTCCTATAGCCAGTGGAAGCTGTTAGGACTGGGGCAGTGGCTGGAGCCTACTTCTAGAACAGGAAGTCAGGAGGTGATAGGGCATAGGGGGCTTGGACAAAGGCCAGAGAAGGAGAAAGATGCCCCAAATAATTTCCCGCCTGTTCTCACTAATCCTCTGTTTGTTCTGAAGCCCAAGCTGGGGAAGGACAGAAGCCTAGGCCAGCTCATCTGGAGCTGAGGATGGTCCAGAGCAAAAAGGACATCGAGGACCCTGAGATCGTGGTGCAGGCCACGGTGCTGTGAGAGCCACATGCGCTCGCCCCTAACGCAGTGTCGGTGTCTCCGTTTTCGTCCCTGTGAAAAAACATAATGTCTGCCTTAGAATCATGACCGAAACTTGACATTTCGTTTCTTCATGAGTGTTGGGTGTCAGCCAGTCTCAATTGTGAAAACGTGCCATTGTGCTTTTAAAAACCATAACAAAGCAGTCAGAAATTTGTGATTTGAAGCTCAGCCCCTCCCTCCAGGCTTCACATCTGCGTGCTCTGATGCACACAGGCACATGGTCACCACCCGCAAACCTCCTGGGTATTAGCCAGACCTCCTGTCACTCATGAGCAACTTCTGAGAGGACGTGAAGGACACAGTGGTGCTCACTGGTGCTGCTGGGCCAAGGGCAGCTTGCAAGGTTCAGGGCAAGTTGCATGCTGGGTTTGTATGCAAGTTCCCCAGCCTACAGTCCAAATGATTAGGCACTGAGTTTTTGCCACAAACCACTGGTGACAATGTCCAGAACCACCGGTATTTGTGTGCAGACAAGGACAGAGGAGACAGAGGTGGCACCTGCCTGCTAATGGCATAGTTAACCCCTCACCCTGTCTTCCTGACCCCAGTTCTGCACTCTGTGCCTGCCGTATGCTAGGGAGCAAGTGACCCTCACATTAAGCCAGTGGGTCCTCTGCCCCCTTGGGAGTTCTCCTTAGGGGAGCACACAGCGCCATGGTGGGACGGCCCTCAGACCCTTGGGTAGGCTGTGACGGCAAAGGCCACAGTGCCGGCTTGGACATGAGTCCACTTGTCCACTGCTCAGAAGTGACTTCCCTAGCTCCACTTTCCTCCAGGTGTGGCTGCAAGTGGGGTCATCTCTGGCCTGCCTCCCTCTCGGCACCCACCCTGCACCCCTGTTCCCCACAGCCCACTTCCTCTCCTGGGAACCCACAGCCTGGAGAGAAATGGGGAGACTGCAGGAGGCGGGGCCCCACTCTGGTCCCCAGGAAAGCAGGTTCTCCAAGGGTGCCCCCACTCTGTGGTCCTCTCCCAGAGCCCATGCCCTCTTAATGAGTTCCAGGGTCTGTCAGGAAGATAGTCCTCCCACAGTACATTCTTCACTTGTTAAAATACCCCCAGGTGGGCGGGGGGTGGCTCAGTGGTCAGTACTTGCCAGATGCGCATGAGGCCTAGGTTCTGTTGAAAACTTGTCTGGTGCATGAAATACCCTAAAATAAAGAGGTGCCAGTCCACCTAGGACTTGGAACCGTTCCACCTCCCTTCTCCCTAACCCAGTTCCCACTCTGAGTGTCTGAGCTCTCACAGGTCAGCACTCCCTGGCCATAGTTGGCTCGCTCACCACCATGGCCATCAAATCGGACCTGTTCCCTGGTCTCAAGGGCAGGCCTTCGAGCCTTGGGATCCACCAGACCAGCAGAAGGAGGAAGGCTGTGGTTAGCCTAGCAGGGAGGACCAGGCACAGTCACCTAGGGGCTTGGGCCTCCATAGGGCCTTTCACAGTAAAGCCCATCACTGCCATGCAGAGGCCAGGGACATGATTCTCATTCTCCATTCTCTCTCTCTCTCTCTCTCTCTCTCTCTGTCATTTGAAGAGCAAGTATAGGACTGGAGAATGACCTGTATGTATCTCAGTGAGATGGAAAAAGTGCCAGCTGGCATACAGAATTGTACCTGGTGCTCAGCTCCTTGAGCTGTGACCACAGTCTTGGGCCGAGGGAGGCATTTTTCCTCCTGGTGTTATACGCAGAGGGACGGGTGCACTTCCCCACCAAGAGCATTCCATAAAACCGAACCCAGGCACAATCTGACACTCCCCTCCTGTCTTGACTAGGGGGCCCTGGGGCCGATGAGGAGAGGCTGTGACTTGAGCCATGGAAGCAACAGGGCCTCACGCGTGGACCGCTTGAGCCTCGTGTCTGTGCGGAGGAGCACAGGATTTATGTGGAAATAATTTGAAGCCTGGGCTGTGGCTCAGAGTTGGAGCACTCCCCTGGCACTTGTGAGGGCCGGGTCTATCCTCAGCACCACAAAAAATAAAAAAAAATTAGCTTCTGGGAAAAAGTGTCCCGCTGTGAACACAGGGTTCCTTGTCAGCACTGCTGAGGGCCAGGCTCCCTGGGACTGCCATGTGGACAGTGGCGATCTCACCACCGGAGTGGGTCCTCCCATCCAAGAAGGCTGTTGTGGCACTGGTAGTGGTTATTGGTAGGACTTGGGTTCAAATTAGAACCAACTTTGTTTCTACTTTCCATAGTTCAGTAACATACAAAATAATAGCTAACAATTTCTGTTGAAATGGGAGCTTTGTTAGTTTATTTTTAAGGGAGCTGTGTTTTAATACTTTGTTAAGGCTGTTCCAAACACCCAGAGACTGTAAGAAGGAATTATAAAATACCCTTTTTAAATCAATTTTAAATCATTGCCTAGTCCTGCCAAGGTAATTGTGTGCCTCTTATTTTTGCAATAGATGTCAGTGATTGTAAAAATGGTGTTCTGTTTTGTGTCCTGTTCTTAAACTTGTTCGAGCCAGTTTTTTAACGTGTTGTTGCCAAGGTAATTGTGTGCCTCTTATTTTTGCAATAGATGTCAGTGATTGTAAAAATGGTGTTCTGTTTTGTGTCCTGTTCTTAAACTTGTTCGAGCCAGTTTTTAACGTGTTGTTTGATTTTATCATGGACGGGGCTGGGCTTGGCTGAACTGAACTGATGAACACCGACAGTGTTTTAGAGCAGGGGCATTGCCTGCCCGGGACGGGCTGGGCTGGGCTGCCCAAGTTCCTGATGTAACATCCACCAGCATCACCTACAATGAGAAAATAAGCAGTGTGTGCTAGAGCTCAGGCCCTGCAGAGAGGTACAGGCTGAGCGAGGCCCTGGGGAGGAGGCACGTTGGTCACGACAGCAAGCAGGGGCCCTTGGTCACACTCCTGACCCTGACATCCATCTCTTATTTCTTGGTGCCACACATTCTTTGGTTGAAAGTATAGAAAAAAAGAGGTGAGGGTGTTTTGGCCCAAAGATAAAGCCCTTGCCTTGCCTTTGACAGGACAACTGCTTTGGGACATCAGTGTCCATATTTATGCTGCTCAGAGGCACCCTATGACCATGAGGCTGAACTGTACCTGTGGCCTGAGGATCAAGAAGCCCTCCTCCCTCCTGCTGCCCAGCTGCTCTCATGGCCTTCATGCAAACCTCCTTTTGAGGCAGGGCTCCATTCGGGATGCCCCTAAGCATGTGCTTGGGCCCAGAGAGGGGACTGAAGTTTGGGCAGGGATATGAAACTTTGATGGTGGCTCCCTGAGTCCTGACTCCAGGCACCAGTACTGGTGACTCCAGTACACCCCCACATGATGTACTGCTGGGTGTTGTCACTCGTTGCCATCTCACTGCCAGACTGGAGGAGTTTTCCTTTTGGCCACCCACACAGCTCCTTGCACAAGCCATGTCTGCCAAAGGAACACATTAGATAAATGCTGACCAGAAGGTGACCAAGTAAGCACTCAGAGCGACCCCAGGACCTGGGGAGGGCAGGTCTGGGAGGCCAGGTCTACTACCTGAAGGCTCTTTCATGAGCCCTGAGCTAGGAAGAGGAGAGACCAGCATTTGGGAGCACTGTTCACCCCAGCAGGTCAGGGAGAATGTCTCTGGGGCTGTGGCAGAGCTGGGCACGCGTGTGCCTGTCATGGATGCCCTTGCTGCAGTTGCTCTGACTGTAAGAGCTGACTGGTAGGCAACCTGCAGGTGCAGGGAGCATGGGTCAGCACTATGGGTTCTGCCTCAAGCAACACACTTCCAGCTTGCACCAGCAGGCGTCACAAGGCCAAGTGAGCCCAGAGACCAGGTTTCCTGGTCCACCACCCTGGTGGACTAAGCAGCAGGGCCCTTCTGTAGACCCTTTTGTTTGTTTTGGGCTTTCAGCGTGTAAATCTTTCCCTTTTAGAGAGAGAAGCCAGGCTCTGTCATCTGTACTACACCTCTCAGTGAGAGGAGTGCTCTGTGACTTCCAGCATGGCAGACCTGGAATCATTGCTCAGGCTGCACAGCTGGGGTTCACAGTTGCTAAATTTGGGGGCTTTTTATAGTATGTATGTGTCTCCTTATTGACTGCAACTTATTCTTGGTGAAAACATTTTCTGTTCTAAATGTACAAAACTGATTAAAAATAGCATCTTATACTCCATATTCTGCCTTCATTACAACCCAGTGTGTTTGTTTGCTCAAAACAGAATTTAATGAGTAACTTTAGATCTAACAGTGAGTATTTTAAAGTTTTATATTAATAGAAAAACTAATTCTGGGGGTGGGAATTCATGCCTGTATTCCCAACACTTGGGAACCTGAGGCAAGAGGATCGAGGCCAACCTGAGCTAATTCATAATGAGACACTGTCGTCCCCCCCCCAGAAAAAAAAAAACCCACCAGCGGCTTCCAGGCAGAACCTGTTCTGCACTCTGTTTACTGATTTTGTTGAAGAGAAAACAAGAGATAATAAGAAAGACATAGCATTTTTGCTAGTTTGAGATAAAGATAGCTATACAGAGAGATTCCATGCACTTGTGTATTACAACCCACATTGGTTCATTTCTGCCAGACCTCTTCACTACTTCCTGGTCCCTTTCCAGTGGCCTCTGCCAGTTTAAGATTACTATATTCCCTCCTCTACAGTGAGCACATCAAACACATTCATTATTTAGGTTTCCTTCATTTTCCCCGTTCCTCCCATGCAAGTTCTCCCCTTAGTGTGTGACCCATGTGCAGTAATATCACTGCATTTGTTTTGGGTCTGTAATCTGCACATGAAGGAGAACATACGATTTTTGGCCTTCTGAGCCTGGCTAACTTCGCTTAAGATGATGTTCTCCAGTTCCATCCATTTCCTTGCGAATGACAAAATTTCATTCTTCTTTGTGGCTGAGTAAAATTCCATTGTGTATAAATACATTTTCTTGATCCGTTCGTCAGTGGTGGGGCATCTTGGCTGTTTCCATAGCTTGCCTATTGTGAATAGTGCCGCAATAAACATGGGTGTGCAGGTGCCTCTGGAGTAACTTGAATCGCATTCCTTTGGGTAGATCCCTAGAAGTGGGATTGCTGGATCATATGGCAGGTCTATGCTTAGTTTTTTAAGAAGCCTCCATATTGTTTTCCAGAGTGGTTATGCTAGCTACATTCTGACCAGCAGTGTACGAAGTTTCCTTTTTCCCCCGAGTCCTTGCCAACATTTGTTGGTGGTGTTTTTGATGACAGCTATCTATTCTAACAGGTGAGGTAGAATCTTAGTGTGGTTTTGATTTGCATTTCCTTTATGGCCAGAGATGGTGAGCATTTTTTCATGTATTTTTTAGACATGTGAATTTCTTTTTTTGAGAAAGTTCTGTTTAGTTCGGTTGCCTATTTCTTTATTGGTTCATTGATTTTTGGGAGAGTTTAGTTTCTTAAGTTCCCTGTATATTCTGGTTATCAGTCCTCTGTCTGATGTATAGTTGGAAAATATTTTCTCCCACTCTGTGGGTGGTCTCTTCAGTTTAGAGACCATTTCTTTTGTTGAGCAGAAGCTTTTTAGTTTTATGAAGTCCCATTTATCTATGCTTTCTCTTAGTTGCTGAGCTGCTGGGGTTCTATTGAGGAAGTCCTTGGCTATGCCTATCATTTCCAAAGTGTTTCCTGCTCCTTCTTGTACTAACTTCAGAGTTTCGGGTCTGATATTTAGGTCCTTGATCCACTTTGAGTTGATACTAGTACAGGGTGATAGGCATGGATCTACTTTCAGTTTTCTGCAGGCAGATAGCCACTTTTCCCAGCAGCATTTATTGAAGAGGCTGTCTTTTCTCCATCATATGTTTTTGGTGCCTTTGTCAAAAATAAGGTGGGCATAGCTGTGTGGCCTCATATCCGGGTCCTCTGTTCTGTTCCACTAGTCTTCATGTCTGTTTTTGTGCCAGTCCCATGCTGTTTTTATTGCTATTGCTTTGTAACACAGTATGAAGTCAGGTATTGTGATACCTCCAGCATTGCTCATTTCACTGAGTATTGCCTTGGCTATTCGCAGTCTTTTGTGTTTCCAAATCAACTTTAGGGTAGATTTTTCAATCTCTGTGATGAAAGTCATTGGGATTTTAATGGGAATTGCATTGAACATGTAGATTGCAAAAAACAAAACAAAAACAAAACACCCATCCAAAAAAGAAAGGTATTCTGTAGCTTTTTTAAAAAAATTTTTTTTTCAGGCAGAGTGAGCAGGAGTTTTAAGCTTATTCTCCTTTGTCTAAGCCAGGCAGGAGTTGGTTCTTAGAGCAGGCGGCTCTGGCTCCTATCCCTGACTCTTCCCTGCCTGGGGATGAGTCCCAGGTTCATCCTTAAGTGGGAGGGGGCTCCCAAACTCTAGCCTCTCTCCTCCAGTCCACTGCAGGGCAGTTTCTTGTGTTTCTGCAACAGAACATTTATTTAGGATAGGAAGGGCCTTCCTGAGGCCATGGGGCCTCACCCTGGCCAGGAGGACATCAGCTACCTGCACATCAGTTGTGAAACAGCAAGAGCAAACCCTTGCCTGCAGCAGGGTGGGAATGGAGAGGAGAGAGTGCCTGGGAAGCTCCACACAACCTTGGGGCTGGTTGGGAAACTGGTCCTGAGCAAGCTGTGGTTCAGTTTTACCACTCCCCAGCAGGGCTGGGCTGTTCTGTGAACGCAAACTAGTTATGAGTGGGGTTAGTAACTTTTGAAGACACTGGATCTGCTTTCTCACTCAGGACCCAGTGCCTGGCATGAGGAGAGTGAGTGCTGGGGCTGGTGGAACAAAAAAGGAGTCGGGAGCTTGGTAGCCTCATCCAGTGTGTCCTAAGAGTGGCAGGGAGGCGGAGCAAAACGCACTTCAAAGTTCATTGCTCAGCCTTGAGCCCAGCACAGGTGGTTCTCATCTGTAATTCTAGCTACTTGGGAGACTGAGATCTGGAGGATTGAGACTTGAGGCTAGCCTGGGAAAAATAGTTCTTGAGACTCCCTCCCCATCTCCAAAATAACCAGAGCAAAATAGACTGGAGGTGTGGCTCAGTGGGTAGAGCACCTACTGAGTTCAAACCCTAGTACCACAAAAAAAAAGCTCAGCTTGAAGATTTCCAAAAAGTACCTGAAACTGCTTTGATGATGTGAGTCAAGGAGGTCAGTATTTAGGAAATGAGGGTGAATTCTTCATTTATCCCACATAGTCCTTGTAGGTTGGGAAGTACACAGATGACGCCATGGATGCTTTTAGCTTCTCAGCTGTGTGATTCCTGGTGTAGAACTTTAGTCAGAATTTCACCCAATTACCGTGACACTGAACCAGTAGGAGAATGGGGCTGTGGCAGGGCTCACCTGAGCCTGGCCGGTCCTTCCCTGTATACAAGCACAGCCTTTCAGAAGCTCCTGCCTTCAGAACAAAGCAACACGTCATCCCACAGTCCTGCTGCGCGGTCGGCACGGTCTCTGTGGGTTCAGGGGTCTCGTGAGCCTGGCCTCTCCCAGCCCTGTGCTGTCCACATCTGTGTCTGCAACATGAGCACCATCGGCCCCGTGTGGGCTGTGTGTTGTGCTGGTCCTGTTGACCTGCCCGATCTATCCACAAATAAATATTTTCATGGCAGCTGTGTTGGCGTGACAATTTCTTACCTCCTTGAAGTCCCTCAAACCATGGGACTCAAGCCATGCTACCCAGCCAGCCCAGCATGTTTACTGCCACAAATGGGTGGAGGCAGACTCCATAAGAATCTCCCTCTTAAAGGAAGGGCATGGCCTGGCCCCCACCTGCAGTGCACTCCCCTCTGTCCTGCGTGCTCTTCCCCATCTTGGGAGGCCCTGGGCCCTGGGGGTACTCGAGGATGGAGAGCATCCCCTTCCCAGCCCTTCCCTGCCAGACCAGCCACCAGCCCAGTATCCCTGCTCCTCATGAGTTCCAGTGCCCATCTGGCTCCTTTGTGCCTGAGCAGTGACATTGTGGTGCGTTGGTGTGGTGGACACCATGATCCAATGGCCTCACAGCAGCTCTGGGGAGGTTGGGAGAGGAGATTCCGCCCCGCCCCACCCCACCCCATGCCCCTAAGCCCATCACCATGGAGGACACTGCATACCAAGGGCCCAGATGTGAGGCCCAGACAGGATAGGGAAGGATGGCCAGAGCACCAGGTGTTGTGCACCTGCAGCCTGCTGGTCCCCCTCAGGCCGTTCCTACATCTGGTGCCCTGGTCCAACGGAGTATCCTGGCTTAGAGCCGTGATCCCTGTGGATGAGTGTCTTGTGGCTGCTGTAAAAGTTTCCACAAGCCAACACAAATCCATTCCCTCACACTTTCAGAGGCTAGAAGTTTAAAAATAGTGTTGGCGGGTCTGCTTCCTCCTGGAGGCTCCAGGGAAGAATCATTTCTGCCTCTTCCAGCACCTGGCTTGTGGCCTCTTCCTCTGTCTTCTAGGCCAGCAGTGTGACATCTTCCATCTCTCACAGACTCGCACCCTCCTTCCTCCCCCAGTAAGGGGCTGTGTGACATTGGGCAGCCCAGATAACCTAGGATCACCTCCTATCTCAAGACCCTTAACAATCCCATGAGCAAAACCCCTTTTGCCTTGTAAGGTACTCTCTTCAAGGCTCCAGGGATGAGGATGTGGACATGTTTGGGACCATCACCTGTGGCCCCCATCCTCTGACAGGGTGTGGGTGGAGTGGAGTTCTGACTTGGTCACCTTTACCCTTCTGAGCCTCTGAGTCAAACTTCCAGCACAGGCACTCAATTCCAAGCCATTGTCAGGACTCCTTTGGGGGCCTCCTCTGGTGGCTCGGGGAAGGCTGGCCTTGAGTTCAGGTTCTATCCCTAAGTATACATGGCTTAGGAATTTCTGAGTCTGGGTGCCTAGACCAAAGCATCCAGCCGATGTGGTGGGGGAGGCAGGACCATTCCAAGGCCACTGGAGCAAGGACACAGGGGAAGGGAGACAGGGAAAGGAAGAGAAGGTGGCCAGGGTGTGGGATGGACTGGTTGCAGAGACCTGTGGGCTGCTGGAGACCCCACTGGAAAGGTCTGGCTGTAACACTGTCACGGGAGTACAGCCCTCCTGTGCCCTTTGGCTCTGGTGAGCACATGTCCCAGCCCTTGGAAACACAAACAGTGACTTCCCAATGCTCCTGTCACTCCCTCTCCACCTTGCTAGGACCTTGTTCAAGACCCTCTCTCTCAGCTTAGCTTGCTGAGGGCAGGGAGCGTCAGGGTCACCAAGTGTTCCTCAAAGCAAACTTCCTGGAAGCCTCTGGAGCTACATGCTGGGCTCTGCCTCATCTGGAATTCCATCTGCATTCCTGTCCTGAGGAAGCGAGCCAGCACTGGCTGGCCTGTGACAGTCCTCACATCTGCCAGGCAGGCCCTTGGGTGTTGTCTCTTTGCTTTCTCTCCGTGGTCCTCATGCACGAACTTGGAGGTGGCTCTCACCAGTCTACACCCCAGCCAGGGAGGCAGGAAAGAGGGTGGAGGGGTGGCGGTCCCCCCCCACCTTCAGAAGCAGCTTTACAGAGGACTAATTCACATGCCACACTGATTCGCCCACGCAGAGTGTAGGATCGGGATCTGGTTATGGAGGTAGAACTGTTGAGAAGGACACAGAATTAAGCTTGGGCAGGTGTCCCTCCAAATTCAGTGATGTCCCGGGGACTTTAAAAAAGGATAATAAGGTTTTGGTGGATGTAGTTAGTTAAATAAGTTGAGGTCACCCTGTATTAGGACCCTAGGTTCCTAGGACAATAAGTTACTTTCAAATAAGGGTCATTTGTGGGCAATGGGCCCCTAAGACCTGAATAAGGACATTGGAGGGACAAGCCTGAGGGTCTCACTTCCCCAGCTTCCTCTGAGTTCCCCTGTGCTTCAGGGTAGCACCCTCCCCAGCTTTCTTAGGGGAGAACAGCCTCCCATACCTGGAGCCAGGTGGAATGTAGGATGGTCATTGCTTCCTCCAGATCTGCCTGCATCCCCATGGGACTCCAGGGTCACCTGACTCAGACCTCAATCAGACCACATCAGGTGGGGGTGCCCACACTCCCTAGGAAGTGCAGGCCCAGCCTGACCTGTCAGTGGGCATGCGCAGTGCCTGGCAGGTGGGCCTAGGTGGGATGGGTACCGTGCATTAGCTGGGAGGAGAAGTGCCTCGATCTGGGCACTCACCTGTGACTTGGTGACCTGGTGCTGTGGGTTCCACTGTGTCCTCCAATACGCTGGGCCTATGAATGGGATCTTCTTTGAAATCATGAGGATGCAGGTGCAGAGGGGATTAATGAGGTCCCACTGTGGGCCCTGTGGGCCCTCACAGGAGGGAAATTTGGAGAGAGAAGAACAGCCATGTGGAGGCAGAGACAGACTGGAATCAAAAGCCAAGGGTTGGCATTGGCCAGCATGAGGAAGGACCCTCCCCAGAGAACTTCTTAGAGCTTATGGCCTGCCCACACGTGGCGTTTGGACTTCTGGCCACCAGAACTGTGGGCAAACCAATGTCCATTGTTCAGGCCACCCCGTTTGAGGTGCTTTGTGTGGCAGCCCATGGACAACAACTCACTTGGTGCTCAGTGTCTGGCGAGGACTCTGGTTGTTCCTGGGACAGCCCATGGTCCAAAGCAATCATGTGACCACAGACTTCCCTGCTTCCCTTTGTTGCCCGGTGTGATTCTGCAGCCTGGTCTCCCTCTCTGCTTTGTGTCCTCCTTGGTTCCCACTGGGTCTCACATCAAAGCCACCACTGAGCTTTATGCAAAGTCCGTCCTGGACCCCATCATTTCCAGGTTTCTGCAGTAACAGGGTCCCACCCTATCCTACAAGTCTCAGTGAATGGAGGTGGCTAGGCCACACAGCCCTGGGCTCCCACTGGCCACACAATCACCAAGGCCTCTGGAGCAAAGTCCTCTCACTCAGGAGGCATCTCTGAGATGTCACAGCTGGCTGTGGACAAGGACGTATCTGCAGTGCCTGGCCAGCACCCTGGTCCAGGCTCCAGAGGTGCCACCAGACCGAGTCCCGGCCTCATCCCCAGAACTGCTCATCCTGCCAGTGACCAGAAACCTCCCAGGGACATCTCAGTCCCTGGCAGTTGTGGCAAGAGGCCAATACATTTTCTAGGTGGTGGCCTGTTCATTTGGGCTGTAATCCTTCTTTCTTATCACATAGCTCTGGGCTGCAAAAGACACCTGAGGACCCAGGCGGGCAGGTGGCTTGGTGGCCTCAGTATCTTTATTTTTCGATTACTACATTCTCAGGGGCACAGCTGTAGGCACTGCTGTGGGGAAGAGTGGAGAGGGACAGAGGAGCATCACTTTTCCTCTGGACACTGGTTAGGCAACTCTGGGTCCTGCCCCCTGCTACCAGGGACTCAGCCATGACCAGCTGGCCCTCAGTGTCTCCCTTCACCCTCAGCAGGTCAGCCTGTGGCCATCTGTGAGGGCAGCTGTCCACCGTGCACACTGTAGATGGCACAGCCCACCCCATCCTGGCATTCCTGCCTCAGCTCACAGCTCCTTGATCTGGTCTTGTCTGAGCTGCACCTGGCTATGTGGCCATACCTGCTGCTAAGGAGGCTGAGTAGCGCCCAGTTAGTAATTGTGTCCCCTGTCAGGGAGATGGAGAGTTGGATCTGGGCAGGGAAGGGTGAGGCTCTGGTCACCTGGGATCAAAGCCCCATTGGAGACCCCATCTGTCTGTCTCTGTCACTCTGCTTAGACCGGCACCATGTCTGGCTTGAGGACACTCCACTGTGGGAAGGAAGCAAGCACCATCCCTAGAGGGGTAAGGTGTCCTGAGCTTTGCCTGATTAGGGACAATAGGGGCTGGCTGTGACATGGGAGTCTGTGGCGGGGAGGAGACTGTGTCCCCCACTGAAACAGTTAATGCTGCTTTCCAGGCAGCCCAATTAGGACATCCTGACCTGCCACCTGGTAGTGCGATGATTAGATTCCCCCAGGTCTGCGATTTTGTCTCTTACAGAATGAGCGTCCAATTATATGCTGTTCTGTCTCTCACTAATTAGAACCTAATCTCACTTCATCAGCCCACCGGCTCTGAGCGAGCACCTCTTTCTGACAACAGGTACAGTGCACGGGGGTGCGGTGGCCTCACCCTGCTTCCTCTCCATGCTGACAAGGACACCGTTAGCTCTCCTGGCTGCCCCACCAGGACTCTCCTACAGACCTCAGCCAGCCCAGCTCACGGACACCCTGTCAGCAGAGTAAGAATGAACACGGGCTCTGGGTAAAGTGTCACTCACTGAGAACTCTGGGCAGAGGGTGGAAGGAGACTGAGGGTGGTGGAGGGGATGACGATGGGCTGGGGTCCACAGCCTGTGACTCAGTTGGAAAAAGGTCCTGAGACTCTCAGTGTGGGGCAGCCCGACCAGCACCTGCTCAGTGTGTCATTTTCCGGGTCCAGTGGAAACAGGTGCTCTACACAGGGCAGCACAAGGAGCATCTGTAATGGGGCTGCATATGTAAGGACAGAGTGCTCACTGTCAAAGCAAGGTCACAACACACAATCAACTCACACCAGGCCACCCTTGCACATGCTGGATGTTGCACACTGCCTTTCTTCACCTGTCTTTCCTACCTAGACTTGAACTTGGTGCAGTCTTGAACTGTGATTCTCCCAATCTCAGCCTCTCAAGTCGCTACAGTTACAGGCATGAGCCACAGTACCCAGCTCAAAACCTTTTCTTTTATGGGGGGAGACTGAGGCTAGGGGACAGAGCCTAGAGCTAAGACAACAGCCTGTGGACAAGCCATCACCAGGACCGCAGGCTGGTGGGGTGCCCAGTGAAAACCCCAGCTCTCCCACCCACTCACTGTGACTTTGGGCACTCAGCACTCTGGAATGGGAAAGACCTTTATGGGCCAGCTGGGATCAGTGCCTGATACACAAGCGGCTCATGAGCTGTGTGCAACGTGGGCTGTGGAAGAACTTTGTTTTTTTTGCCATGCTGGGGATTGAACCCAGGGCCTCGTGTATGCTAAGCAAGGGCCTCGTGTATGCTAAGCAAGTGCTCTGCCACTGAGCTACACCCTCAGCTCTGTGAAAGAACTTACAAACGTGTTATTCTCTCCTGGCACACGTATAGTGTGATTATGACCTCAGATGAAGGAAAGAAATCCAAAACAAAGAAGGCAATTGGTATGGACTGTTAAAAATATATTTAAAGACAGATCAGTTATAGAACTCTTTGTAAATAATTAAGATCACTAATTGTGAGAAAAAAGATCCATACAATGAAATAGGAATCACAGCAAAAGGGAAGCCCCTTCCCTCTGTCCTTCTACCCGGGAGGCACGGCACAGAGAGGACAGAGAACTGATTAAGTAGCTGGCACAGGGACGAAGGGCCCCCTGGGAAATGAGGAATTAGAAGTAGCTCAGCTCATCCTGCTTGGTCTTCTTGACCTGGTAGGCAGACAAGGTCAAAGGTTTGTTTTCATGAGGAAGACTTTGGTATACCCTCAAGTGCACATATTCATCATTGCCAATGTCAACCTAGAAAGAGAAAGGGAGAGTCCAGTGAGGGTGGTGTGCAGCCCTGACCCCAGTCCTCTGGTTTCAACTGTGAGAACAGCTGCTACCTGGGAAATGAGAAGCCCAGCCACTGCAGGCCACCAGGGACTGGGCTGATGACAAGTCCTGTCTTCTCCTTCAAGGGTAGGGACCCCAGCACCCCACATTCAGAATCCTTAGTGTCCTCCTAAGAGGCTGGCATATACTCGCCACGCCCACAGGCACATATACAACAGGATGCTCGTCTAACAGGCCATGGACCCCCAAAGCTGAGAATGGCCACAGGACCCCCATGGAACACCCTGCCTGGCACTTGAGGCCACATCCGCAGACCGGTCACTTCCTACCAGCACTCACCTTGATGAAGTAGTTGGTTCCTGCCACCACCTGGCTCTTGAAGGACACAGCCTTAAAAGTGGAAAACTTCTGGTTTTCTTTCTCTTCTAGCTGTGTCTTCACCTGTGGGGTGGGAGGAGGAAGGCAAGGACACAGTGGCTCAGTGTCTGCAGGGCGAATTCCTAGTCCAGCCGAGGACATGGTAAACAGCCCCAGGCAACAGCTCCTCACCTGTACCCAAGTTTAATGCTACTAGTTCAAAACATTTCTCTTTCTCCTGTGGACGTGGGATATTTCTGTATCTGTATCATTACAACACTAGGTAGAAGTTTATACACACAAACAGTTCATGTGAAACACTGTGAACCATTTTTAACTAATCTTTTGTTTATTATTATTTTTTGGTGCTAGGGATTGAATCCAGGGCCTTGTGCATTCTCTGAGCACATGTTCTACCACGAGCTACACCTAGCCCTAGTCTTTAAAATTAACTGAGACAGCAAATTTAAATTTAATCCTCTACGTCTCAGTTCTTTCAATTGTTCTGTGGCTGGGGGCACTTAGGTAAATTTTGCCATAACAGGTAGCTGCACAGGTGTAAAGTACTCCACCTGTATTTTTAAGTGGCTTCTTTAGGACACAACACTTTGGGCGGAGGCTGACCCCACTGTGAATGAAACAGTAAACATACTTTGGATGTTAATCTGTTCTCCAGGGTCTTTGCCTTTCAGAAGCTGATCGACCTTCATGGTGGAAGACCATGTGCGTCCTTTTTAAAAACTGCAATCTATTGTTGTTTAGAAGTGCCCTGGGTGCCTGACAAGGCTGGTGGTAATGCTAGAGTAGTGTCATAGTGACGAGGGTGGTGCTGGGGATTAGGTGTTTCAGTTCAACAAAACAAAACGATCACATGAGGCACAGTAGTTGGTGAATAAAGACAGTCCACTGTATTACAGGGGGAGAGCCACCAAAAGGCAGGTGGGTCAGAGTCTATAAAAACGGCACAGGATGGATGGAACCCTGTCAGCGTCCCTGCCCCTCCAGGCCTTCTCTGCTCAGAAACCGCCCAGCACTGCCAGCCTTAAGATTTCTCCCCATAGCCTAGCAAGCTCAAGGTCAACTTCAAACCCAAGGACTGCAAAAAAAGAAAAAAAAAAGATATTTTTTTTCCCCCCAAAGCAAAGCTACTGCCCACTTGCACATTCCCGTGAGAAGTGAGCCCGCTATTCTGTCCTGGCTGAGTAAGAACAAGGGTTTCGCAGGCCTGGGACACCGAGAGTGGCTGCCGGCTTTTCTAGGTTGTCTGTCCAGCCTGAGCTCCTGTATCTGGACCAATTCCTCCTTTGCAGGGTCTCATGGGACTGACTCACCACCAGGACTGCAGTCAGATGGCCCAAACCACTCAAGCAGTGCCACCCTGGGTTCGCCATGTGCCACAGGCTGTGGGAGGCAGCAGCAGAGCAGGAAAGTCGATGAAGTTTGTTTGGCTATTCCTCTTCTTACTCAAAACCCTGAATCATCAGTCCATTGTAAAAACCCTAATCCTTGCTAACGAACAGTGGGCCAGGGGAGGGCCTGGCTCAGTAAACCAACTCAGGAAACCCTCACCAGCACCTACCCCCAGGTGCAGCCTGTGATGATACCATGTTGAAGATGGGGAAACTGGGGCACCCGGAGTTCAACTCCTGCAATCTGACCTGGCTTTGGCTTTTTGTGGAGGTGCTATACCCCCAGCCTTTTTTAAATCCTGAGATAGTCTCCCTAAAAACTGGAATCTTCTTGCCGTCTCCTGAGTACTGGGGTTACAGGCGTGCACCACCACGCCTGGCATGTTTTGACTTTTTATTCGGAGATAATTTCAAACTTAGTTTGAGAACAGCAAAAAGAATACCTGCATACCTTCATGCAGATCCACCTGAGTTTCATTTGAGTCGTGGTCAGGCTGGCCACTTTTTTGTTTGGTGGCACTGGGGTTTGAACTCACCCTTGCTAGGCAGGCGCTCTACCACCCGAGCCACTCCTCCAACCCAGACTGACCCCTTAACTCTCCATCGTCGCGTCTTCACCTGAGTTTTTACAGCTCCTGGTGTTGGCACTGTGAACTCCGTGCTGTCTTCCTATTAACTATTTGGGATCACCACGTACCACGAGCCTCTTACCTCTATCTGCATAATTCCCAAGGGCTGGGCGGTGTTCTCCATGCGAGCGGCCCGCCACCGGCCCAGTGACCCTTCTGCACCCAAATACTGCACTCAGTTGGGCCCGGCTCGGCCACAGATCACGCCCAGCTTGGGCGGCGATTTAAGAGCACCGGGATCTCGTGTCCTCCCCTCCGGAACCCCAAGACCTCGGAGAGGCCAAGCCCGCGTCCGGGCAGCAGGGCAGGGCCGGGGCCTCACCTGGTCGGCGATTTTCTGGGTGTCGGCGGAGGCCGGCTGGGTGGGGGAGGGCGCTCCGCACATCATTTTAGCGGCAGGGAGAGGACGGCGCGGGCTGGCAGCGGACGGGCAGCGGAAGGACCAGCGAGCGATAGCGAGACCTCGGCCACTGCGCCTAAGACAAGCCACGCCAGCTCCGCCCCCGGGCGCGAGCGACCACGTGACGCGGACGGCCACGCCCCCGCCGGAAGCGCCCCGTCACGCCCACCGCGCCCGACTCGCTTTCCTCCCGGAAGGCCGAGTCACGAGGACGGGCGGGGGCGGGGCCCGGCGCAGCCCAGTGGGGGCCGCTTGTAGAGAAGTGGGGAATGGGGAGATCCTGGGTCTCTGTCCGCACCATTACCCCTCGTGGACACGAAGGAGGGATGGACACAGCCTTGCTGGTGTCTTGGGGTCCCCATCACGCCCTTCCCCCCTCCCCCTCGTCCCGGTCTCAGTCTTCCACCCCAGGCTGAGTCACGAGGACGGGCGGGGCTGCGGACCGGCGCAGCCCAGTCGGGGGGGGGGCCTCTTGTCACGAAGTGGTGATGGGGGGGGGTTCCGGGTCCGATTTCCACCCCACACTCCTCCGTGGGTACGGAGTAGGGATGGATACAGCCCTGGTGGGATTTTTGGGGTTCCGATTCCTCCCCCCAGCCCCCCGTGAGCACAAAGCGAGGATGGACGCAACCTTGAGGGAGCCTGGGGGTTGGGACCCCTCCCCTCCTGTGTTGTCCTCTTTCCTCTTCCTCTTGGCATGAAGTGGGAGCGGGTACAGCCCTACAGGAGTCTGGGGTCCTGGATGACAACTTCTCTCCTTCTCCCCTCCCCGCCCCTCCCCCGCGGGCAGAAAGTGGGGCTAGACCAGCCCTGTGGGAGCCTGGCCGTCAGAAGTCTCGGTGTCATCCCTTGAGCCCACCGCAGGCCGGAGACAGTGGGAGCCCTGGCATGCCCAGAGGCTTGGGGCTCTGGGCTTGAGAGCTGCCAAGCCCCAGGGGAGAAGCAGGGGCCTAGCCCTAGCTGGAAGTGATGCATGATGACACGCGCAGGAATTTCAGGTGCTCAGGGTTCTTGAGCAGGCATAGGTAGGATAGAGTTTCCAGACCAGCCCAAGCAAAATGTTAGCGAGAACCCCTTCTCAACTGGTAAGCCAGACATAGTGTACCTGAAAGGTGTAGGTAGGAGGATGGCAGTCTCTTTGCCCAGCCTTGGGTGAAAAAGGACAAAAGCAGGCTGGGGTGTAGCTTAAATGGTGGAGCACCTGCCTGGCAAAGGTTAGGCCCCGAATTCAAATTCCAGTACTGCTAGAAAAAAAAAGAAAAATCAGCCTTTTCCCAGCCCCTAGGCTTCCCCTCGGTGGGCACTGAGGCCTAAGGGGACACGGTGAATGGCTAAATGGTGAAAGGACAGGAGGGGCCCAGTGGGGTAGACATCCTGGGGGACAATTCCCATTACTACTGAGTGAGCGAGGACAGATTGAATCCCATAAAATGGGAAACCCTTCTGTGTAGAAAGCAAAGCATCAGGAAACCCAAACCAAAACCACGGTGAAGGAGAGAGGAAACCTCCCTGTAGTTCTGTGGACTTCTGCCTGCTGGCCAGAGGCTGACCCATCTACGAGGTCTGAGTCTGGTCCTCGTGCTCCCTGCTGGAGCTGGGTCCCCGTGTGCAACTTGTGCAATAGGAGTGTAAGGGCCGTGGGGATAAACACAGGGCTCCAGTGGGAGCAGCATGTAGACAGGGTGCCTGTTCGGGCTGGCCATGCAAGGGGCTGCCCTCCTGTGTGTGGCAGAGGCTGAGGCAGCAGGGGACAAGCGCAGCTCCATGGAGCTCACAGCAGAGGGCCCTAGTGATCATGTGAGGGGCATACTTGGCTTTCTTGGTTAATCCTAAATTGGAAACATTAGGGACAGACATGGGGAAGGATGTCCTTGGCATATCCTGGCCATTCCTGGCTGGGAGCACTGCACGTGGTCTGGCTTGCCTTAGTCTCTGAGTCACAGTGTTCTTGCCACGTGGGGTCTGCCTGGTTCCTGTTGTGCATTGAAAGGCTGGGTCCATGGCTGCCCAATGAAGCCAAAAGTCAAGGGACAGAGAGAAGAAAGAGCTTCATTGGCTACAAACCAGCAGGTGGAAAGTGGAGGGCTTCACCCACATTCTGTTGTGCCAGGGGTCACGGTGTGCGGACTGTAACTTCAGCCCTTGTACAGTGGCCACCACAGTAACCCATCCTCTCAAAGCGTTTATCTAAAGGAGTGAGTTAATAAGTACAGAAAACGTGGGACAGTATCTCAGCTCTGGGGTGAGCTGTAAGCATTATTATTGTCACTTTTTTGTTAGCATACTCATGTGATTTTTTTCTTAATGAGCATCTTACTAATGATTTGTATAACCTCTTTTTTTTTTTTTTGGCAGTATTGCATTTGAACTCAGGCCCTACACTTGCTAGGCAGGTGCTCTACCACTTGAGCCACACCTTCAGTCTATTTTGTTCTGCTTATTTTGGAGATGGGGGCCTCACAAACTATTTGCCTGGGCTTGCCTCGAACCTCGATCTTCCTGATCGCAGCATCCCAAGTAGCCAGGATTTCAGGCGTGAGCCACAGGTGCCTGGCTTCCCTCTCATTCTTTTTATTTATTTATTTATTTGTTTATTTATTTAATTTATTTATTTATTTCTGTGGTGCTGGGGCTTGATCTCAGGACCTACACCTTGAGCTACTCCACCAGCCCTCTTTTTTTTTTGATGGGGTTTTTTTTTGGAGATAGGGTCTCGAGAGCTATTTGCCCAGTCTGGCTTTGAAACGTGATCCTCCTGATCTCTGCCTACTGAGTAGGTAGGATTACAGCCAGGGGAAAAGACCGCACATTCTGTGTCTTCACCAGAGTCACCTCATGTCCCATCCCACTGTGGGGGCTTTGAACATCACTTAAATTTAAAATCTACATTCAGAAAGATCAAAATCTTCAAGTCAAGCAGTTTCAGAATCTGGGCTGTGAACCTGAGTCTCCCAGAGTGGTTCGAAGCTAGTTTTGCCAGGGTTTGCCAGGGTCTCCCCCTTCCCCAGCAGGCAGCTCCAGTTTCCTGCTGCCTGTGTGCCTCCTGACCACGAGGTTCTCATAGGTTGCCGTGTCTCCATCGTGGAACAATTTGTTGCTAGCCTGAGAAGCTCTTTGGTTGTGAGAAGAAGAAAGATGACACATTTAAACAGCTCAGCATTTTTCAATGGACCACGTCAGCTTCTGTATCAAGGTGAGCCAAGCACCACCCTGGGATTGTGTCACAGACCTGGCTGCCAGGGAACACCCACAAGGGGCAGACAGTGGCTTTGCCTTCAACCTGGGGCCCCTCTAAGTAAGCCATCTCTGGAGGGGTGGCAGGGTCCCCAAAACTGGGATAAGTCAAGGGAGGGAACAGATACACGGTTGAATTTTTATTTTATTTGTTTTTTATTTTGTGATAGTCTCACTGTGTAGCCCAGTCTGGCCTTGAATGTCAGTTCCTCCTGCCTCAGCCTCCTGAATAGTGGGACCACCAGGATGCACCCCCACACCCGGCAGACGCACAGTTTTAAAAGGTCATTGCTATTAACTACTAGCATAAGCAGAGAGTTTTTGTTTTAAGCTTAAAAGCATCAGAAGATGCAGAAAGGGAGGCTGGGCCCCACATGGGGGCAGTTGTTTTCTGGGTACATCTGCTGCACCTGATCCTGACCTAGCTGTTGCCCAAGTGTCTCCTTCACACCCTAAGTGCTTTGGGGATTCCCAGCAGACAGACTGCTTCCTATTGGAGCTGGGTCTCAGGCACCCACATTTTACAAGTAGGAGGAAACACCTGTGGAAGTAGACAAAGGTCACCCTAGTGAGAACTGGCAAGGCTGTTTGCTCCAGGCTGCTGGGTGGGGAGCCAGCAGCTGCTTGTGTGAGGAGAGACTGAGGCAGGCTGGAAAGGAAAGCTGCTGGCTAGCTCCCATCCCCATGCCTGGCACAGAACAGGCCCTAAAAACCATGATCCTTATTCATTTTGGTACATCAAAAACAAGAGTTCACAGCTGGGCGCCACTGGCTCATTCTTGTAATCTTAACTACTCTGGAGGCAGAGATCAGGAGGATTGGGGTTCAAAGCCAGCCAGGGCAAATAGTTAGAAGACCCTATCTTGAAAAAAACCCATCACAAAAAAGGGCTGGTGGAGTGGCTCAACGTGTAGGCCCTGAGTTCAAACCCAGAACTGGAAAACAACAAACAAACAAACAAAACCCCCCAAGACTTCAAAGTTAAAGCAATCAATTGAAAGAATTTATCTTGGTGGGGAATGGCTCAAGTGGAAGACCAGCTGCCTAGCAAGCACAAGGCCCTGAGTTCCACAAATATGTGTGCATATATGTATATTTTAAAAAATCAAACCCCATTGCTGCCAAACAAATAAACAAAATCCAAAGAATTTAGGGAAAATGAATGACCAGACAGAAAATTTATCTATAAAAATGTGAATCACAGAATTGAGAAGCAACTATAGCACCAGCCTCCACCCACAGCAAGGAATGTCTCCCCGGGGTGCCTGGGTTTGCACCCTCTGGGTGTTCACTGGAATGCAAGTTCCCAGGCCTCCCTGGACAGTCCCAATTCCCAGGCTGAGCAGGGTCCAGGTTCCTGCAGAACCAAAGCACAGACTAGCATGCTCACAGAAGCCAGTCCTGGGGTGGATACTGGTATTTTAAAGGTTGCTGCCTTGAGTTTTCTGGTTTTAGAAGTGCTCTAAACTGGATATGGTGGCCACACTGTAATTCTGTAATTCTAGCACTCAAGAGACAAAGGCCAAAGGATCATGGTTCAAGGTCACTTAAAAAAATGCTCTAACACTGAGCTACATCCCCAGCCTTGGTTTTTTTGGGACAGGGTCTCACTATTTATAGCCTAAACTGGCCTCAGACTCAGGCTTCTCCTCCATCAGCTTCCCAGTGCTGGGATTACAAGTGTGAACCATCATCCCTGGCTTTAAAGTTTTTTGTTTTGTAAAAGAAATTTTTGCTTTTAGAAAAAAGGTTGTTTGATTTACAATAGTTCATACTTTGACAAGTTAGTGACATTGTCGGAAAGGCTTGGTATGTTAATGAAAGGTTACAAAATTATCTCTATAGTGTGACTAA